TGGAATCTTGGGGCGACACTCTGTTGAGAAGCTCAAGGCAGTCACTTCCATTTATCACTCAAGATGAAGTTCCCCACTCCAACAGGGATAGGGGAGGTAAGTGGATCCCAAAGCGCATCTCGCGAATGCTATATAAAGACGGTATAGGGCAGATAAGGAAAGGGCATTTCGCGATGTGTGCCTCGCCAGGTTATGACGATCAGTCGGATCGAAACACAGCCTGGACCAGCGGAGGATAACATAGATCCGCGAGTCTAGGAAATCCCTCCTAGGGGCCCGGTTGAGGATCTGACCAAAGTTTCGGTTGATCCAAAGGAGCCGAGCCGAGTATTAAAGATTGGGAGCTGTGCTCACCCCAGCTCGCTTCGAGCTGATAGACTTCTTAAAGGAAAACATTGAAGTGTTTGCCTGGTCGCATGCAGATATGGTTGGGATCAGCCGGATTTATTTGCCATTCGTTAAACATTAACAGTGAGGCCAGACCGGTTACCAGAAAGAAAGAGCGATGGATCCAAAGCGGTACGCCGCACTAAATCAGGAAGTGGAAAACCTCCTCGAAATGGGTCCCTCGAGAGGCACTTCATCCAACCTGGGTCGCTAACCGGTCTTGGTAAAGAAGCCAAACGGCAAGTGGCCGACCTGCGTCGACTTCAGCGACCTCACAAGGCTTGCCGAAAGACAGCTTCCCTCTGCCGAGGATCGACAAGAGTTGATGCCACCTCAGGGCACGAGCTGCTGAGCTTTAGGAGTGGTATTCGGGATACAATCAAATCCCAATGTATGGGCTGGATGAGGAGCATACGTCCTTCATTACGGACCGGGGGCTATACTGTTACAAAGTTATGCTTCAGTCTCAAGAATGGGGCGCGAAGTATCAGAGGTTGGTCAACCGAATGTTCTCCGACCAGATCAAGAAGACATTGGAAGTATATGTGGACAAAATGCTGGTCAAAACCCAGGTCGCTTCCGGACACATTGCACGTCTCGCTGAGATGTTTGACATTCCGACTATAGAATGAAGCTAAACCCTCTCAAGTGTTCGTTCAGAGTGTCATCGGGAAAGTCCTGGGGTTTATGGTTAATCAGCGGGGCATAGAAATAAACCCCGAGAAGATTCAAGCCCTACTCGACATGGAGAGCCCGACCAGCAAGAAGCAGGTCAAGAGTCTAAATGGGCGGATAGCGGTACTTTGTCGCTTCATATCAAGGCTAACCGACGCTGTTTACCATTCTTCAATGTTCTAAAGGCGAACAAGAAATTCGAATGGACTCCGAATGCGAACAAGCATTCCAGAGTATAAAAGAACACCTAGGGAAGCCACCTCTCCTCTCTAAGCCCTTCCACAGGAAATCCTGTCCGTCTCTAGTTCGCGGTCAGTGCAGCTTTAGTGCGGGAAGAGGAAAGGCGCAGTGGCCAGTTATTATGCAAGCAAGGTGTTATCGGATGCCGAGATGCGGTATCCAGAAATTGAGCGACTAGCCTTTGCTCTGCTGATCGCGTCCAGAAAGCTGCAACCTTACCCATGCCCATACAATTAACGTAATGACTAACTACCCCCTTAGGCAGGTCCTCCAGAAACAGAAGCCTCGGGTAAGCTGCTTAATGGGCCATGAAACTGAGCCAATTCGACTGAAGTACAAGCCCAGATCAACCATAAAAGGGCAAGCTGTGCAGACTTCATCTCGGAATTTTCCTATCTCCCGAGCGAGCAACAGCCTAGCGAAGTCGTGCAAGAAGTATTCAGAACCTGTCAACCTGGAACCTCTACGTCGATGGGTCTCGAACAGGAAAAGAGCCGGTGCGGGTCTTCTCCTTGTGAGCCCTGAAGTGGCTCGAATCATGGTATTCTCGGTTCGGGTTTAAGGCGACCAACAATGAGGCAGAGTATGAAGCCCTGCTGCTGGGTTGCGACTTGCCAAAGAAATGGGTGCAACTCGCATCAGCATTGTAGCGACTCCATGCTGGTAGTCAACCAGATTTAGGGGAGTACCAAGCAAAAGAAGAGAACATGGTCCGCTATCTAAAGGAGGCTAAAACCGCTCTGGGGGCGTTTAAGCACTTCGAAATCAATCAGATCCCCAGAGATAGCAATTCTATAGCGGACGCTCTAGCAAAGATAGCCTCGTCATTGGATCAGAGGCCCCAGACAACATTCTTGTTCGTTTCGGGATGCTCCAACTATCAGCTCAACCGAACAGGCCGTACATGACTCAACCGGATTCTTGGATGACTCCCATCTTCCAGTACCTCAAGATGGGACTTTGCCAGACGACAAGGTCGAGGCAAGGGTCCTGGGAGCAAGATCTGTCATACACACATCGGGGACAAGCTGTATAGGAGAGGATTCAGTGCCCCTCTCCCGATGTGTAAAAGTGAGGAAGCAGACTATATCATAAGGAAATTATGAAGGAATCGCGGTAATCACACAGCCGCTCGATCTCTCGGGAACAAAGTTGTTCGTCAGGGATATTATTGGCCCCGGATCCAGGAAGATAGCACAATTTTGTCAAAAAATGTGACAGTGTCAACGGTTCGCGAACATTCCGCGAGTCCCCTCGCACGAGCTGATAACAATGTCTAACCCTTGGCCATTTTCCATGTGGGGGATCGACCTTATCGGTCCCATGCCAGTTGGAAAGGGAGGGGTCAAGATGTCGTGGCTCGGTAGATTATTTCACGAAATGGGTGGAAGCCGAACCGCTGGCCACGATCACGACTAGAAAGCTAAAAGACTTCGTTTTCAAGAACATAGTGTGCCGCTACAGAATTCCCCCACCCCTCATCTCGGACAATGGAAAGCAATTCGACAACGAGGAGTTCAAACAATTCTGCGACGAGCTGGGCATCCATAAAAATTCGCCTCAGTCGCAGACCGCAAGCGAATGGCCAAGTTGAAGCAGTCAACAAAACCATCAAGCACACTCTAAAGGCCAAGTCGGGGCGGCCAAAGGGAATGGGCTGACGATCTCCCCAAAGTTATGGGCGTACAGGACAACTCCAAGAACTTCACCTCAGAGACCCCTTTTTCGCTAGCCTATGGTTGCGAAGCGATGGTTCCTGTAGAGGTGGGAACTGGATCATTCGGAGGGACCGTTGATGAGGTTGAAAACGAAGCACTATGAGGGCAAGTTTGGATCTCGTTGAAGAGCATCGCTAAAGATAGCAGTCTACCAGCAGCGAGCAAAGAGGTTTTGATTCAAAGGTCAACGGAAGAGACTTCCAGGTCGGGGACCTTGTGCTAAAGGAATCTCCTTGGGACCAAAAGACCAAGTGCGGGGGTACTAGGGCTAACTGGGAAGGACGTACCGGGTTGACAAGGTGATCAGACGGGGACTTACCATCTCAAAAGATTGAACGGTTCCAAAGTACCCCGAGCTTGGAATGCCGAACACCTCGGCATACTATCAGTAATCCCGAACTCAGCTTCAATTAGTTTTTGTTAGTTTCCTCTTAATGTACGAGTATTATTTTGTTCGCTGGAAACAGTGCATGTGTTGTTCGCGGGTAAGAATTCGCATATAATAGTATGTAAAGCTGATGTAAATTGAACTTTGTATGAAAAAGGAATTGCAATTGAAAACAAAATATCTTCATTTATTACAAGCAAAAGTTAAGACTCAATTTCAATGGAGCCAAAGCTCCTACTACGTTGGTCGGTAGGGGGATCCTTCGAAGCAACACTCGAACCCTCTGCCTGGTCGGACCCCCTGGCGGTTGCTACTGCTGCTGCTTCGTCGTCTTCCTCTGCCAAGAGCCGCAAGTCTCTTGCCAACCGGTGGGAGGTCGGACACGGCGAGATCCGGGTTCTTGGCCGCAGTGGGTAAATAGCCCCGATCGCCCAATCGGCAGCCTTTTCCTCCATCTCCCTGACTGAACCCGCATTTCTTCAGTCAGTGAAGCGATCTTTTCCTGACTCTCCTGGAGTTCGGCCTCAAGAGCTCGCTTCTCCTATTCGGAGGCCCCTTTCCTGTTCAGCCTTCTGAGCCCATATGGAGGTCGTCTGGATCTCCTGGTCCAACTCTCCGACCTCCTTGGAGAGCTCGCGATTGTCCTTTGAAGTTCCTTCACTTCCCTGCACGTCGCTCAAGCTCCGCCTTTTGGAAGTCCACAGTTCGCAAAGTAGCATCCTTTGGAGCAGGTATATGTTCGCCGCTTCGAATGCTTGTATTCTTTCAACTTCGACGGACTCCAGGCTTTTCTTGAGCTTCGCGACCTCTCTAGCTCGTTGGACTCCTCGCGGCCCCCAGCCAAGCTTTCCATAGACATCCTCATCGCAAGCAAAGCCTGTGAGCAAGGAATGGTTAGAAAGAACAAATGAAATTTTTAATAGCAGCCGTTTATACCGACACCAAGCATCCCTCATAAAATGTGATACCGTAAATACAAGTATCAACCAAAACTAATTTTTATAGAAGTAACCCAAATTGAATGCACTCTTCCACCAACCATTAATACAAAAATGGCTTTGTGGATGTATGCAGACAGGAAAACAATGCCATGAAATAAATCCAGCAGAATTGTCAAATCAACCAAGAATCCCTCATAAATTATGATTTTGTGAATACAAGTTATCTACCAAAAGCACTTTTATAATCTGCTTACCTAATTGTGGTAAATAATTTCATTATCAAGCCATACAGGAATAGCCCTAATTAAGTTCATTTGACCACTATACACAGAGTTGGAAGGTTTAAAACCAAAGTCTATGCATGACCGTCTTATCAAAAAAGAGATATGAGCAAAAGAATCCCTAATCACTCATCAAATAATCCCCAAAACACAGCTCTTCAACTTGTGCATGCCAAGTGTCAAGAAACTTGAAACAAATTTACAAAGAACTTTCCAAAAATGCTGTACATTTTGATTGATATCAGAAAATAACAACACCAGAACAAGTTTTATGGCACACTCTCTAAAGAATGCCTGTCTTCAAGTTTTACTAATACCAATCATCATCAAATTTTTATATGGCAAAAGTAAAAGCCAGTAATTCTACATATTAATAAACTTGCCATTAGCAATAAAAATTACCTTTGCTACAACTGTAAGTATAGCACATGCCAGAACCTCTGTCTCCGGCCCGAACATCTGCTTCCAGCACTCTCCCAACCGGCCCTGCCGCAGCACTGCAACCAGCACCAAGAGAAAAATGCATGCGACTACAAAATGTCTTCACAGCTTTTGAATCATGGAGTACAATTATGAAGTCCATGAGTTCACCCCCAATCTGACCAACAGAGAAGGAAAACAATTTAAAACAGAATATATTAATCTCAGTAACATGTAAGAATGCCAAATTTAGTTATAAGGGATAGACAGAATAAATTGACACTGACACAAAAAAAATAACTGACATTTATATTTAAAAAAAATCTGAAAGTGGGTCCTCTTTCTGTTAACAGGAAACATTCAAATACGATGGAATTTTTCCACATTTATTTTTTCAATTTCTTTGGATGTATAAACACTGATCTTAATAATTAAAACAGAAGAACATACTCAAGGAATTTCAACCCACTAGAATATTTACCTGAGCACCCCACCCTAAACCAGCTGAGAATATGGCTGATGGAGCAGACCAGGAGCCATCTGACCTTCTAGCAACAACCAAACCAGTGCCAAGTTTGTAAGAAACTAGCACACCGGCTTTAGCAACCGTTAAGATTGCAAGGCCTTTGGCTCCTTTCAGAACAGCTAAGGGTATTGACCTCTCAGAATTCAATGCAGCAACCTGTCATATCAACAAATATAGGAAAATCTTTAGCAAAAAGATACAAGCGTAAATAGTATTTGTATGCTGAAGCACCAAATCCTGTAACAAGAAAAAAAATGCCACAAAACACAGAACTCTAATGTGGAATTAAGACCCAGAACAAATAATCAATTAGAAGCTACAAAATGAAACCATGATATCTGAGCCCAGTAACAAAACAAGACAATAGTACTATTAAACTTCAATGAAAATCAGAAACTTAACCTGTCGGTAGTTTCTTAATGTATTAGAAGCTTTGTATATCTCATATTCCATTGACAAACCAACTGGAAGGTTAAGCCATCCCCTTGCACATGTCCAATCCACAACATCATGTTTTGCCACTTGCACAGCATTGCTAATAGAGTTAATAAGAATTCCTTGTAAAGGATCAAGTCTATCATAGCAGGCATCACACACCCTCTGAGGATTCCGCTCCCTAAACTTCACAGGTAACAAACACCTCCCCTTAGTGCATGTTCTACAGAAAATCCCTCCACAAAACCGACAATGATGTCTACCAAGCGTGAGCGCTGTAAAAGGAGCAGTGCACTGCATGCACACGGTAGTAGAACTATCAGGAAGCCACTCTGGTGGATCAGCTTCCAAAACCTCTTTGTAAGCACTGTATCTAATCCCATCGGACCCAAGAAGGGGTGGCGCACTCGGTGTGTACACCGAGGAGTGCAAGTATGTATCCCCATTCTTCCCAGATCCAAGAAATGAAACATTTGAACTGGACTCTTGCTGAGTCGTGGAAACACTTGGAGCTTTGTTCCGCCCAGTTATGATTGCAAATATCCCATTCATCACATTTTTCAAGTTCACCTCAGGAGGCATATTATTACTTTGCATAGAGTAACATTGATCCTCACCTGAATCATATCCTTCATGAATAAAGTCTTCAGATTGAAGTGGAAACTGGTATGTATAATCTTTTTTGGAGGATTTTATGCCTGTTGGGTAGGTTTTCTTGTCTTCCAACACATCCCATACAGGTTCTCTATAGTCATCATCCTCATAATGAAATTGACCATTCTCCCTTTTTTCTATCTTAGAAAGCGAAGAATATACAACTCTACCATCATTGGTCTCCATACAGTACACCACATGCAATCAAATGATTAATGGTCAAAACAAAAGCCACACAAGTTTCACTGCAAATTGAAACGGATACCATATCAGTGCTTAAAAAAATTCGAGCAACAAAAATAAAATCATTTACAATTTAAGGAAAACACAATAAAACGAATCAAAAACAACACAGCATGAAACCTAAACCTCCATAAAAAATAATAATAAATAAATAAAAGCATGCCAAAATATGCAATTTCAGTGTAAAAGAAAAAAAATTTGAAGTCAGCCACATTAAGCATCTACAAGGATTACAATTTTCATTTAATTCATTCACGAAGCTGTAACAATATTAATTACATAAGAAAAGGAATGAAAGAGCCAAAATTGGCAAAAAATTAAATTAGGAATAGAACTCACGGTTTAAATTCGCATAGCATGCAATTCTCATAAACGTGTAAACAATTTTCTTCAATAAAACGAAAAGGATAAATATATGATAATTATGATAAGCTGAAGTAAAAATTGTTTCCAATAGGGCATCTAGATTTTACCCTCGTCTAGGATTCTCAACCATATTTTGAGATTTAAATAAATTAAAAAAACAATCACAAGTAATAATTGGACATATAAGGATGATTTTGTATAACCTTTTCGCTGTATATTATGGCGACGGAATTCGAGCTTCGATTTTCAGTCTTGAATTATAAGCCAAAAAAAGACGACAAAGAAGAAGAAGAAGGAAAATTTAATCATCTGGCACACGGAACTCTTTCAATTTTAAAAGACAATAGAAATACAACATCTTGGGCTACCTATCCCAAAATAAAATAAATATTTGGGCTCCCTTGGCCCAGAGTGGCTTCTTGGGATTAAACCGGGCCTGGCCCATGGGCTTACAAGGCAATTTTACAAAACGGGATATTATCACAAGAGTTTACTATATTATCAACCGGATGACGGTTAAAGATGTTTAAGAGTTATATTTAGCTATAAAATCACAAAATGAAATGAGTAATAAATGTAGTTTTCTATGTGCAGTATACTTCTTGTTGAAAAAGTATTTAGCACTACTGTAACTGTTTTATAAAACAAAAAACTTGATAATTTTTTACTAGAAAAAAAAATCCAAATGCTTCTCTAATCGTTTCAATTGGAGCCTACGTAAAGTATACAATGTGAATTTTAAAATAAACTACAAGAATTGCATCATGATAAGGTTAATTATGTACACAATGTAAATACATGGTTGTCTCAGTCCTACCAAAACGCAATTTCAAATAAAATTAATTTATTAATATATCTGATGATAATCCAAAACTATCCATTTTCTATTCTTTTATTTAACACACTCATCAAACTTTTCAAGTTCGTATAATTGGTTTTTTCTTTTTTAACTTAAAAGAAAATTGTATTGAATTAAAAAATAATAATAAATAAAGGTATACAAAAATTCCTACCAAAATATTGAAAAGCGCTACTGAAGTTTAAGTTTACAAAATTCAATTTAGAAAAAACAATTACAAATTTAAAAAAAAAATCATATTCATTTTATCTGCTACAATTTCTAATCACTGGAAGGATGGACGAGACTTTAAATATACCATATCCGATGAAGAGTGAATGAGCTTTAAAATAAGGTAGTTTTGTATTTCAGAAACTTAATTTGTATTCATTAAATTATATCTACAATGAGGCTTAAAAAGAGTAGACTACTCTGTAACATAACCATCAAAGGTATATTAACAGTTTAAGGCACCAAATCAACCACTGATGGTGCTGACCTCTTCATTTGTGCAATCCATCACCAATCCTTTAAATAAAGCATGTATCTCCCGAGGACAAAGAAAAATAATCACATATTACCATCCTTTGTAAACAATCAGAATAATCATTGTCAGTTAATCATACAAGATTGCTTCATTACAGAAAAACTATATATCATTTCAAAACAGCAGACACCGGTGGCTCCTGAATCTCTTGTTACTTCAGTTTTATCAACAAATGAAGACAGATTGCAATCTATGCAAGTTCTAAGATACATATAAATACTTTCACAGTTACATATTAGTGTCAATCATCTGTCTATTTCATACTCGAGCCTTTTTCCCAGGTTGTAAATCATCATCATAATGGCCCCCTTCACCACCGTCCTTATCCATCTTCTTTCTAGCTAATATCTTATTAATCTTGTGCAGCTCATTATTAAGTTTCTGGTCCTTGTTCTGTTTCCGTGTCTTACGCCCATCTTGCATCTTCACACCAAACTGAAAGGCAGCCTTTGGCATGGCTTCCTTCTGCTCATTGTATGTTGCCCATTCCTCTTCTGTCTCGAAGTCCCACCGATGAAGACGACCCTTTGCCTGTGGAGAAATATTTGGACAATATTATTAGCACCAGTCCTATATACCAGTTACTTCTTCACGCCAAACCATTTTTGAGTAAACTATCAAAAGATTATTGGTAAAAAATATAAAATGTCGTTTATTCACACTAGCAGAGTCTCTTAAGTAACTTCTTTAAGTTATTGTTATTCTTATGGGTTAACGACAAATTAAACCTGCTATAAGCTTTGCTCTTTTTTTCTAAATGCATTTATTCCATGCCATTCCAAACTATATAATAGGAAGTTAATTCAAATAAAAGCAAAAGCGTCATGCTTGCTCCTTATTCAATTGCAAAATGAGTTAAAATAGAACACTTACCCTTCCACCCATATCCATTTTTGACAAGTCATCTTCATCATCACTGTCCACAATCTCACGGTTATACTCTTGATACCCAGGATAACATTCAGAATAACTCTCAGAGATGAAGTTGGGATCCTTCTCTCGGGCATCTTTCTCTCTCAATTGTAGAAGCCTTTGATCATCTCGCTTGAACACAGAACCTAAGCCCCGATCCTTTTCTTCTTGAGTCATGAAGCGTGGATCTTGTGGCATGTTCAAACCTGCTTGCATATCATAATCCTGCATGTCTGGTTGTAGGTATTGTTCAGGATAAGCCAATTGTTCAGCATATTGGTAGTCCTGCCACTCTCCCTGGTAGCCACCAGCCAACGCTTGTGCTTGCATGGCATCATATCCATTCTGAGATTTTAAAGGAGTCAATGCAGAGAAGAAAAAACCATAGCAAACAAGACAGTCATAATTATTTTTACAAGGCAAAACTAATGCTGCAGTAGCTCTAATTTTTTATACTATTTCTTCCCCACACTTGTTGTAATTAAAATTTCAATTCTTACCTACTTGCTTAAACACTTGAAATGATAAATGAATGTAAGGATCAACTTACCATATCTTCCCAGCCCTGAGGTGCAGCAGGTGAAATGATAAATGAATGTAAGGATCAACTTACCATATCTTCCCAGCCCTGAGGTGCAGCAGGTGGGACGGGACCATAAGCAGGTTCACTGAAGTAGGAAACTTTTTCCTTATTTCTAGGAGACTCTTCCATATCCTCAGAAACAGGGCTTTGGCTCATGTCCTTACCAGGAACCTCATAGTCAACACCATCCCCCATAAATATATCTTCTTCTTCTGTCCTGGCAACAGCTGGACCTTGATTCTCTATTGAATCAGTATGACTTTTCCTGGGAGGTGGTGGAGGCGGTGGCAAGATCTCTCTTTCAGTTCTATTATTTGGTATTCCACCATTAGGTTTTGATGGTTTATCATCTTCATCATATTCATTACCAACAACAGTAGCAGTCTTTCCTGTAGCGGAAAATTTAGACAATATTGAGAAAACCAACCTTGGATACACAAACAATAGAAGATCTACATACTGCAGCATGTCTAAGATGAAAATAGCATGAACTATATCCCAATATCAATTACACAGTTAGATTTCTTTCTTTGTCTTAATCAGAATGCTACCACAGCCAGAATCACATTAAGCTTTGCTGGATGTGCATATTTAAAAGACTTAATGTCTTTATCTGCGAAAAACCAAAGGCTTTAATGCCCACAAAAAAAGGATTTAGCCTCCTACAATTTTGCGTAAGCATGTTTTAAGCACATCCCCAGTCTCTTAGGCACAGCACCAAAAATGATATTTTTCTTCCTCATCAACGAATTAACCACAGTGAAATGTTTTAGAATTTTATGTTTCTAATTTACAGCTTCAAGTTAATAGAATAACTCTTCTTCTATTGTGCAGCAAACTATAGCAAGATCCTAAGTGATATACCCACAATTGTGTACAGCTACTTATGACAAAGAGCAAAGAGAATAATTACCCTTTGCATCTCTTTCCTTTTTTTTCTTCTTGAGAACCTTTCCAGATGATCCAAGGCGAAGATATGTCATGATTTTAGCAATTCGATCTAGCACAGAACCATCAACACTAACAGTAACCATTTCCTGCATGGTAAATAGAAACCAAAATCAGCAAATATTCAGCATTAGAAACAATACCTCTTGAAAAGACCCTAACAGAATAGGGTGGAAAGTTTACAGACGTCTGGAACAGGACAATCAGCTTTACTCCTTTGCAAGGTAGTCGGTATATCATGAGTGTATCCACCCTCCTAGATTGCAAAAAAGAGAAATTTACGTCAGAAAACTATCTTTAAACCAATCTCAAACATGGTTAGAAAACCAAAAGCACACAACTAAGTCTAAGCTCATACTAGCTATTAGTCCACACACTTAACTAGCGTATTTTTAACTAACTTACAAAATATAAATAAAGTAAATAATCTTCAGAGGTTACATCCAGCATTTAAAAATTCAACCACTTGTGGTCCAAGTTTACAGGGAGAATAAGCACTGAAACAAGCTACAGTGTCACTGGTCATGCAAAATGGGCCACATGGTCCTTGAAAATAAATCAGCCAACAATCATAACACCATTGCATATCCTACCACATTGAACCTCCTTGGCAAGCAGGTGCACCTGGTCTTATGGGAGCAGTATGCAGTTCACCTAAATATAAGATCAATCTTGATGTTCAAATCAACCAAACAAATACTTGTATTTCTAATACGCTGGAACGCAGTGCAGTAAAAACCAACTTCAAGCAACTTCCAAGGAAAGACCATGATGATTGTTTTATGATCAAAATGATAAAATTCATATCTGGATAGAACAAACTACAAGAGCTTCCCGAACAGGCCACAAGGTTGGCAAGGACCATAGATTTATACAGTAGAACAGCTAAACATTTGCTATTGAAACAATAAGCATAGGAAAGGGGAAAACAATTCTTACCATGTTATAAATAAAGGACATTCGACCTGGAAGGAACATCTCATTTGTCTTGATAACAGTTTGAGGCTTGACTATAGATTGATACACTGACTAAAAGAGGAAAAAAAAAGTCATAAATACAAAGAATTTATGCAACATCATAAACTAAGGAACTTCTTATTTTAAAGCTAAGTTCCAAATAGGAAAATGAACCTTAGCAATTGCAGTCCGAAATGACACTTTGTTGTCTTCTTTTGAAGCTCTGCCAGTAAATGATAAATCACATGTCAATGAAACTGTAGCCAAGACTAAATTACACAATTAATAGCACAGGAATAATTGATATATTTTGCCATCCTCAGTCCATTATCTGAGATACGAATACAATGCTAGACCATGAATTAACCCATATTCAACCTCCTAAGTCATGGCATCCATTAGTAAATTGTTTATATGATAATAAACTATAATGTTTAAATCTCTCCCTATAGTGAAATTTTAAAGATCAGGGGTAATAAGGTAGAAGATGTCAACCAAAGATGAAAATTGCATCAATCAGTACATCCCTAAGGCAGAACACAGTTAGAAAAGGGATATTCCACTCAAAAACAAATTTGCAAGTTCAAGACAGTTGATTTTAATTCAGTTACCTAGACTTTCCACCAGCTTCATCTCCAGCATCTGGCTTCTTGTCAATCTCACTTCTCACCTTGTTAAGTAATGCATAATCCAACCCTTTCACCAAATGTGTGTGCTCCACATCACCTGATCAAGATACACCCAATCATAAATAAAACAAAAAATAAAAGAAAAAAAAAACTCTAACAACTAGCATAATAGGCTACAAGAACTGCTCCATATCTTGACACCTACAGAACACTAATCACAATTTTTTTAGTTCAACATCATTACAAAGAAATTATTTGAATTGAAGCTAACTCACATTGACATAACAAGCCATCAAGGATAAATAAACTTTCACAATCCTGAACTGACACAATTATAATCGGTGGTAGCTAAATCATTTTACCAAAATCAGTGAATTTAAGTTCAGAAACCCGCTACTTCATCTCATAATGTAAAACATGATACCAGTAAAATGCAATGTCACTTAACAAAGGAACAATGCTAAATGCTAGTATGATAATATATTCTTATCATAGCCGGGCCGTAACAGGCCAATGCCATTGTGCTACCCTACATAGAACGGTATACAAATTTGGAACCCAAAAAAATAAATAAATAGAAAATTCGATTACAAAAACACTAACCTCCAAGGTACTTGCTCTTCTCGATGGATAATTTTTGCGCATCAGCTGACCTACGAATGTTAAACCAAATAGATATAGTGTACAGCATAAAAAAAATAAAAACTAATAAAACGGGTAAATTCAGTAGGGGGCAAAGGGGTCCAACCGAATATCAACAGTGCCGGGAGGAGCGACAGCGTGAAACGAGCCCAATTCTGTAGCTTCATAATCAGGATTCTGATCCTCTCTTCTCTCCTTAGCTCGGTCCCGATATTTTGGTTGATCCGGCTCCTCCGGTTTCTCCTCTCTGCACAAATATATTTCAAATTCTAAAATAAGCGTACCAAATTTTTATCTGTTACAAAAAAACTTGAAAATTATGTCAATCGTTACTTTCGACGAGCGATTTTCTCCTTGTAATATTTCTTTGCAGAAGTCATTGGTGAGAAAGTTTAATATTTTGATTAGGGTTTAGAGTGTTACAAAGAGGAGGGAGATTTCAGAAGAAACGATGAGCAAGGAGAAGTGGAGAAGATTTGGAGCGAATATTGAATTCCAAAAATACCCTCGTTAACGTTGTAACTTGTAAGCTTGTAGTTTGACTTAGAGACTGTGCCACGTGCGATCACATGAGACAAAATGACTCGTACATCTCTTATGCAGATTAAACGCAGCGTTTTTGGGCTCCAATGCATTGCTGATGACCCAGGACTTTATGATGTTTCAGTCGCAGCACGAGCCCAACAGAAAAATGGGCCCAGTAGGATACGACGTCGATTACAGGTCCATGCCCAGCTTATATTTTAGGCAGGAAAGTCCATTGGACTGATATGACTTGATACGAAAATTGAAATAATTTTTAAAAAATATAAGAAATAGAAAAACCAAAATTAACTTTAATAATAATAAATATATATACATTATGCACAACATGAATTACAAAAGTCAATGGTCCCATATAAACGCACCCGTTTAGAGCTGATTTCCTTTTCTTGAAATTGTTTCAAGACATTGAGCACTGGTAGTTCCTGAATTTGCATGATTTTAGTACACAAAAAGAAAACTCCTATATTATGTACAAAAATCAAATTATTATATTTGAAATAAACAGTAATATAGTAGAACTGACATTATTCTATACTACATAAAAACTATTCAATGTGAGATGAATTTGAGTCCCACGGGAAACATTTATCATAACTGATACATATTTTATTTGACAAGCAACATCTACTATCATTGATCCTAGTCTTATACAATTTATATATAATTTATTCATCATATCTCAACTTATTTTGCATCTATCACATTCATAAATGTTAAGGCTTGATTTTAACACTAACTACTTGTACGTGTGAAATGTTAAGCGAACTCATAAGTCACACGTGATACAGGAATATTAGGTTAAATAAGGGGTGAGATGCAATGTTTAAAGTGGTTTGAATGATCTAAAGTGAATCTTACGTCTACTGCTATTGTATTAATAAGAGAGAGTGGTCATATCGCGTTTAGTGAGCTGAGTTACAGTTTAGAGAGAGAGAGAGAGAGAGCTATTTCAGCATAGAATTAGCTAATCCCCACAAATGAGAGGGAAGTCATCTATTTATGGTGGGAAAGTTTAAGGTAATGATTATGAAAACTGCAAATTGGTAGGTGTCGTGCAAATCATTTCTTTGCGTCCCATTGATCACCTGCCGGAGGGATTTCCTCGATTAAAATAGGGCTTTGACACGTGGGCGATTTCCAGCCGCTTGCTAGCCTAGCACTCACATGCTGCACTGACAAGAGTCATGCCACTTACGCTAGGCACAACGTGACCGTACCTGGACGACACAAAACCCTTCTAATCTCTGACTATTCTTTACTGACGAGGTTCCACGTCAGTCCTACTTTTTTCGACATAACAATAAATATCATAAACACGTAATGGACTGCTCTCAAATCACCAATTTCATATATTATATAATATTTATATTATCATTTGCTTCTTGTTAAATATATTTGCACATGGTTTTCCTTTAATTAATAATAAATTCCTCCAAAACTTGCATGTATCATACATCCATTCTACAAGTAATCATCCATCTTAAAATAAAATCATAACATTATGTTGGTGACCGATGGAAGTTCCTTTATTTATTTTTGATAAGATATTTATTGATTTAATGAAATTGTTTTTACAGAAATATTTTTTAAGTAAGCAGTATAAGTGCTTTTCTACTCCAATCAATACTTCGTGAAAAAACATATACATATCAGGTTTTTTGTTTTAAGAAAAAATACACTTAAAATACTTTTTTTTAGCATTAATTAATGTATTTCCATGACAAAATAGATAATGTAAAAAAAAATTAAAAAAAAATCAAATTTTATATCCAAACAGAATCTAATACAACCATTTTAATTAAATTCTCCACCAAATCAAATTTGTCAACACTTACAAGTAAGAAAATTGCATAAAAAATTTGTATAATTTGTGGGCAGAGTCGACCCCACCACCCATCCATTTGATTAGGCAAGATAGAAACTTAGAATATGCCCATCAGGATCAGAGTACCAATCAAGGTAGATGGTTGAGCGTTTGGATTATAATAAATAAATTATAATTAATTAGCCGAATGATTTGATCCATTATTAAAAAGGTAAGCTACCGTTACCTAAATAAAGGACAAACATGATAAGCACTAGGTCAATTTATGAAGTAGAACTGCAACCCTCTGGTTCAGAATTTGGGTCCATCATTTCCACTCTGATGTCGTGGGTTTTTTGTCTTATTCGTAAAATGCTATTCATTATTTTCTCACTCATAGTCAATTTCCGTAAATTGAAACCTGTTATTTGACAGGTACAACTGTAGAAAGACTATAATACCATTTACTTATTGCCTTTATAATTTTTAATGAGGTCAAATAACTTTTTTCCATCAAAACATTATAAAATGTATTTCCCACCCCTAGTTTGGTTTATATAAATTTTAGGGTTAATAAATTAAAAATTCAGAAGAAAAAAAAGTCAGTTATTCAATTAAAAGAACCAAAAAAAAAAAAAAAAAAAGTCTTCGGCAACCTTCATTGTCTGCGGAATCGCAAAAGTCAGGTGCAATTTGGTCTAAATCACATCTGGTTAGATGCGATTCCAACCAACTGAATTTTTTTTTTTTTTTTTGGGAAGCTTTTGTTTTCTTTTTTACAATTTTTCAGTTTTCTTCTCTCTTTTTTGGAAATTATAATTTATTTAATTTCTTAAAATGTATATTTTGCAACAATTACAATTTTAATGAAAAATTGTTTTGTAGTTTTATAATTTTTTTTTTTAATTTACAGATACTATTATTACAAATGATTTTTTTTTTTGTATTTTTTTAACAGAAACACAAATACTTTAAGTGAAAATATAGCAGTAAAATGTAACCTACAAAATTTGTGGACCTATATGTAATCTCAGCCATCAATCACGGTCAAACGTCCATTTTAATGGTACAAAACTACAAATTGAAGATAGAGGGACTATGGTTATCAAATCGTGTATTGAAAACCTAATTTTTTGAATCGTGTATCGTATCATGTATCGAAAACCTAATTTTTTGAATTGTGTATCGCATATCGTATCGTATCGTATCGTATCTTAAGATACACCTTTTTCAAAAAAAATTAATAAAATAATCAAAATTTTCTAAAAATTAATATCATCCCCAAGATTAATTAAAGAATTTTGTGGTATTATTAGCTTTAAATTACGATATTACATAATCAAAATTAATCACAAAATCCCAAGATCAATGTTAATATCTATATCTCTACTTATATTATTATTATTATGTAAAATGGACAATATATATTCCTCTTCACTTTTTCCATGCAAACTGGGTAAATTTGGACAGATTTTAGTGAATCGGGTTGGGTGACCCGGTTTCGACCCGAATTTTTTTTTTGGACATTTGGCCCAAATTAATAAAGTCGTATCGATTTATATCGATATTTTTAAGGATACAAACGGATACGTATCGTATCATAGGATACATATCAACATATCGAAAGATTTAGGATACACTCTCTGATACGTATCGTTGGCAACCTGTATCGAATCGTATCGTATGATACCTATCGGGCATCGTAGGATACTAACAACCATGAGAGGGACTAAGTGAGTAATTCCCAAGTTGGCGAATGCAATTGTAATCTGTTTGTATTTTATGGGTGTAAGTGACATTGACCGTATAATATATGATGGTGTGAACTGTTAAACTTATCGTCTTGAGTTTTAAGGAAGGATGGGAAAATGTTTTTTAAAAAAATCTCAGGTAAGAAAATGTCATTCGGCCATTTATGAACCCAATTCAACGGACTCTCTTGTAAAGGACAACAGAGTAGTGAAGAATACAAAGTGCATCAAAATTGTCTTATTGCTTATTGAAATAATCGCCTGCTGAAACATTAATGGAGCAAGTTCATATATATAATGAGATCAATTAATCTTGAAGCACTAATAAACCCAATGGCAAGGCTAGTTTTCTGCTTAGTATTCTTAAATATAAGTGTAATTTTGTTAGTGTTAATCGGTGTGAGGGCTTCATCAGGGAGTTCTCTGGAGAAGAGTAGTGCCTTCTTCATATTTGGAGACTCCACTGTAGATCCTGGAAACAACAATTACATACACACCATCCCTGAAAACCAAGCAAATTTCAAGCCCTATGGACAGAATGGCTTCTTTGATGGACCAACAGGACGCTTCTCTAACGGCCGTGTGATCGTTGATTTTATTGGTATCTTTCAAACACCATTTGCATATATAGTTAAATGATGCATGAATTCTGGAAGACTAATTTTTGTGTCTTATTTATGTTCAGCGAGTTACGCAAATTTGTCATTGATTCCTCCGTTTTTAGAACCCTCCGCTGATTATAGCTATGGTGTTAACTTTGCCTCTGGTGGAGCCGGTGTACTTCCTGAAACCCATCAGGGTTTGGTAATTATACAGAAATTCAAACAACTTTAATTTGAATATTCATATACTTTTGAGTTTTGAACTTGTGTATTTATGCATGTTGATGCTGTCACTGTTAGGCGATTGATCTTCCTACACAATTGAAGTATTTTGAAGAGGTGAAGAAGTCCTTAACTGAAAAGCTAGGAGAAGCAGAAGCAGACGAAGTTATATCAGAAGCTGTTTATTTCATCAGTATTGGAAGCAATGATTATATGGGTGGCTATCTGGGTAACCCCAAAATGCAAGAAAACTATCAACCTGAAGATTATGTCGCCATGGTTATCGGCAACTTGACCGAAGCTATCCAAGTAAGCTTCTTTAATTAACACTACAAGAAAAATGTGATCGCAATAGACTTTTTAGCATCGCACATCACATTTAGGCCTGAATACACTGTTAAGACTTGTTATTTTCCTCCATTAATGGCCTACTTAATTTGTTTGTGTTGAATAATTTCTTATATACTCAGGTGCTGTATGAAAAAGGAGGTAGAAAATTTGGGTTTCTGAGCTTATCTCCATTGGGGTGCTTGCCAGCCCTGAGAGCTTTGAACCCCAACAAAGACAGTGAAAATGGTTGCTTTGAAGCAGGTTCTGCTCTAGCAGCAGCACATAATAATGCTTTAAAAGGAGTCCTCACAAGCATTGAATATATTTTTGAAGGGTTCAAATATTCCAACTCCAATTTCTACACTTGGCTTGAAGATAGAATGAACAATCCTTCCAACTATGGTATGTATAAATTCTTCATTGATCATTGATCATACCTTAAAGATAGTGTTAACATAGGAGCTTTTGTTGGAACTTGTCTATTCAAAAACATTATATTATAATTATAATTATAATTATTTATTATGATTTGGAACTGTGTCCGGGTTGTTGACTAGTTTTTTTTTGTCGTTATCATCCTTTTTATTGACTTTTTCATTATTGACAAAAAGATGGGTTTAAAATGTATAAATATTATCAAAGTTTAATTCGATTTCTTTTGCAATTGATTCGGTCCGATTTCAGATTAGAATCCAATTTTAATATAAGAAAATTGAAATCGGATTGATTTAATTTTTATACGTTGAACTAGCTATACACAATAGAATGGGCTGGATCTACATAATTGCATATATTATAGATACTAGTAATTAAAAAATGTATTAATCCACTTGTCATGTGAAATTTTACAAAAAAAAAATCAGGTTTTAAGGACGGAATAAATGCTTGTTGCGGATTCGGGCCATACGGGGGAATGCTAACCTGCGGTGGCAACAAGAATATCACAGAATACAATTTATGTGGTAATCCTGACGATCACGTTTGGTGGGACTCTTTCCACCCAACAGAAAGGATCCATGAACAGTTCGCAAAGGCTCTCTGGGATGGACCCTCTTCATCCGTTGGGCCATTCAATCTCCAGGATCTCTTCTTCAGTAAGGGAAAACTCACCATTGCCGATATTGTTGATGCTCCTCACCTCAAGGACACCAGTTTCAGTAATATTATATAATGCTTGCAGTCTACTTTTTATGTGGCACAAGTACATAAAAATTCAAATCAAATAATTGAATTGTAAAATGAAGAAGAAGACCCTTTTCTTTTAAACGAGTAGGATGATAATGGGTATGATTTTGTTTTGGTTTGAAATTTTTTTTTTTTTGAAGTGAAATCGTCTAAAAGTAGGTTTATATTTGAGTACCACATTATCATTGAATATCAGTTAAAAGTTATAGACAGGAGAAATTAATGTTGAAGGGACAACTTAAGTAATATTATAATTTTTGAAAAAATTTAAGTGAGTAAGATTGTAACTAATATAATAAACATATAAAAATGTGAAGTGAAGGGAGTTAAATCTAAAAATTTTAACTACCTTTACATGGTCGAGTGATTAGATAGAAATTTTTTAATGTATTATTCAAGAGGTATTGAATTCAAGTCTCTCCTCGGATCCTAATAGAGATAACAACTGGAACTCTTACCCGACTGATAATTTTAGAATCCTAAAAGATTATTTAAAGTGTACATAAACTAGTTTAGACACTACCAATCATCGTTTAAAAAAAATCTAAAAATATTTATACAAATACATCGGAGTTAAAACAAACAATGCTCACGCCTAATATTAAATGATAATTGAAAAATGATAATGCTTATCCATATCTATTTAATTAGGTTAAGATCGTGTTCCACATGTCAAATTATCATCCTGGTCTTTTTATATCATTTTCCCAGAGTTGCCTTGTGAATCTCGTGTCTAATATCAATTAGTTTAGAGTAAGAGTTCCCATTATTGACTTATTCCGAACATCAGCTCTATTTATGTAAAGGATTTTACACTCAACACCGTCGTATGCCGTATGTAACCCGTCATATTTGATGTCATTTGCTCAAATTTTTAGCCACAAGATATTTTCAGCATTTTATGCTAGATTTATGTGGATGTGAACGTCTAACCATTAAAAATAAACAACCAAATCCTTTGAACTACCCAAATACAACAAAGATGGTCTGTGAAGTTGAAACGTTGGATGCTTCAAGTTCAAGCTGGACCATCTGCAGGCACAACAGTTCCAGTCTGAATCTTAGCCAAAATCTATAAAGAAAGCTAATGAGGCCGACGTGTTCGTGTGAAACAAATAAAATTACCTGACCAATTTCATTTAATTACCTGCAAAACTTCATATTCGTTGACTGCCTCCCTAAACGGCTAAACCACAAAAATTTAACACGTGTTCCATGGGGAAATTTTAATCTGTAAATTTCAAACAAATCTTAACAACTCATAATTAATCGACTCAATCTTTTTGTATTAAAAAGCGACAGGTCAGAATTGTTTTGAACGTCCCCACAATCCTTCAATTTAGTACATTAAATTGCATGACATCTAATATCATTTATTTTAATGGGTTTTTTTTTTATATTATTGACCCGTATCTTTATTAGGCTTATACGAATTGTTTGATTAATACTTAAGAAATTACTTAATCAATCTTGTGGTTTCAGTCGATTATGATTTTGATCCTACCATTCAAATATTAGGAAATTTCGTCTTAACTGATGTTATTAAAACTTAAATGACAAAAACACCCCTAAAGGTAATGTTGAAATTTTCATAAACCTATTAAATAAATTGCACACTTAAATAATTAAATAAAATTTATTTAAATAACTGAAAGTTTACATAATTTTAACATGTTTATATAATTATTTAACATTGTTATTTTGGGTTATTTTTGTCATTTTACTTTTAATTAATAGATTTTAAAAACTTCAATTAGATTTAGGGAGAGTTTATTAGTATTTGAAAGAGTAAGATCTCTATCTAATAAACGAAGCCCAATGGGAAAAATTAGCTTTATGGAATTAATGTTATACAAAGTTTTTTCATGATCCATATATACTTTTTAATAATTCAATTATACACAACACATATATGTATTTTTTGTATTAAAAATAATAAATAAATAAATTACTATGCGATACAAACCATAATAGATAAAAATATTATAAGGGGCGTTTGGTTGGGGGTTATATGATATTACTGAGATAATGTCATCTTATATTACTTGATTACCACGTCTGGTTATCAAGTAATATAATGTAATCAAGTAATATAAGATTCCGGTAATCTTCTAATGTCAATAGTAGTTACTGTTGATAATATTTGAGGTAATATGATAATCTTAATTTTCTTAGGTATTGTAAAATTATTTAGTTATCTTATTTTTGTTACAATTTTATCCTTTAAAGCCCGTTTGGATCGGGTTTAAATTTTTTAACAAGGGTAATATTTGTTTAATTTAGCAGATTACCGTGTTTGGTATTTTTGTAAAAAAAAAATTACTGGAAAAAAAGATGACAAACAGTGCTCAAAGGGGGGTAAATTACTAGGAATATTTGTACCTCATGGGAGGCTGTTATTAAAACGTTACCGGGTAATCATAATTTTTGTCCAATCTTGCCCGTAAACAGTATACTATGCAGACAAAAATATCATTGGCTTGGTTAATAATAACAAAACACCAAATTTGTAAAATGACAAAAACACCCCCACCACCACAATGCCAGATTCTAGCCACCACCGTTGGAATCTGGTCGGAATCTGCTGTTACGACTCAGAGTGGTCAAATCTGGCCGTTTATTCACCGATCTGGCCTTTTCCGGCCAGATCCGCCATGGATCTGGCTGGAAAAGAACAGATCTAAGGCCAGATCTGGCCGTTGATGGTCAAAAAAGGTCAAATCTGACCATCAGACTCTTTGGCCGTCGTTGACTGTCAACGACGGCCATTTCTTTGGCCGTCGCTAACGGCCAGATCTAGCCTTTTCCGGCTAGATCCACCGCGGATCTGGCCGAAAAAGGCCAAATGGGTGAATAAACGACCTTTTTCGGTCGTTTTTAGGCTGTTGTGACAGACTCTGGCCACCAGTAACGGTAGTTGCCAGAATCTTGCAACTATGGGTGGGTGGGATTATTTTTGTTAATTTTTAAACTTTTCTTTTCTAGGGGTGTTTAATTAAGTTAATAAACTTAAGGGGTCTAAATGTAATTAGAAAAATAGAATAGTATTTCCCAAAATAATTAAACAAATAAGTAATAATTAAACAAATAAGTATTCTGGGAATAGGATAAAGAATAAGGTTTCAAATAATAAAACAAACTAGCCCTTAATTATTTATATCTAGTAATCATCTAAAGGACATTTTAGTAAAAGGTATTTTAGGACATATGTTATTACTGTCAACCAAGCACATTAATTATTAATACATCCCAATTGAACCAAGCATAATAATAATTTAAACTCGGTAATCTTTCCGGTAATCTTTCTTTCCGGTAATCTTATTACTAAGATAAAAAAACATTATATGATGCAAACGCCCCTTTATTAATAAATTTTTTGGACAATAATGTCTTTGTTTTAAAATAAATTTACATTAATCTACCATTACAATTTTACTCTTGTTCAATTAAGTTTTTAGATGATAATGCTCTTATATTTAAAACAAATTGCAGGCCATCGCCGCCACCAGCTGGCTAACCACCACTTGCCACTGTTGGGAGTTGCGAGAGTCGTCGGGAGGCTCTAATATGGTTGTTTCTGGTCATATTGATGGCCAAAAACCACCATATCGGAGTAGATATGGTCGTTAATGGCCAGACCCATGGCCTTTATCAGCCATATTTGGGCGAGATATGACTGTCAACAGCCAGATTCTTGCCCAGATATGGTCGATAAAGGCCATGGATCTGGCCGGTAATGGCCAAATTTACTTTGGTATGGCCGTTTTCGGCCATCAATATGGCTAGAAACAGCCATATCGGAGCCTCCCGGTGACCCACGACGATTTACAACGACTTTCAGGGACTTTCGGCAGCTGATGGCGGTGGTCGACAATGGCCAATGGCAGATCTAGGATTTTTGTCTAGGGGGGCCTCCGCGGCTCTGTCATTATTTGTTAAACAACTAGTAAAAACTTTAAAAAATCACCAAACCTTAAACAAAGAAAATAATACAATATCAAGAACCTAAGATAAAAGAATGCAATAACGCAATACTTTCCTGCTTTAATAAATTCATGAGAAGCAAAATTTTGAATAAATGTGTTAAGCAAGCCTTGAGCAAAACCTTCTTTTAATTTTTTTATTTTTGGCTCTCAAAGATTATAATATAAATTTTCATTACTTTGACAAAACATACCTTAAGCTAAAGTCAACCAAAACTTAAATCAAATCAATATTGCACTAACTTTTAATATAAATTAATAAAAAAAAAAAAATTTCTCGATATAAACATAGATAGTAATTCAAATTTCTTTATTTATTTTGAGTAGCAGAACGGTGACGTTTGAAATGTATGAAAGTGGTAGGTGAAGAATAACGTCTTTTAAAATATAGTTAAGGTTTTAATTTGGAAAAATAAGTTTGTTCTTAGACACAAAACACAAAATAAACTCACAAGATCCATGTCTTTTCCCCTTAAATTATAATAAAAAACCTCAAAAAAAAAAAAAAAATGATTCAACCATAAAATAAACTAAATTGAAATGAGCAATACACATACCTAAAATTTATAAAATAAAAAACAGAGTTAATTGTGACACCTTGAGTAGTGAAAGCTTCAACAGTTTCGATCTTCCAAAGTTTTAAGATCGAATAGTATGAGGAAGAGAATGAGAGAGTAAAGAATTTTAGAGATAAAATCATAAAAAGTAGGTGGAGCCGGAAGAAAGGTGGAGAGAGTTTAAAACTTTTAATATGATGTGAGCTTGAAATATATATATTAATAACAAGTTTTTTGTGGGCCTAAATATATGTATAATAATTTTCATTTTTTTTAAATCCGAGGGTTGACTTCGGTATATATATTAATAACAATTTTGGTGAGTCTATATATTAATATTTAAAAAAAAAAAAAACTTGAGGGTAGGCCTAGGGGTTGGATCCGCACCTGACAATGGCTTGGAGTGGTGGGGTGATTTTGTTATAAATTTAAATTTTATATAAATTGGGGTGTTTTAACTAAATCTGAAATGTTGAGGGTTAAAAAAATTATTCAAAAATTAATAATAAAAAAAGTATTAAAATTTAAAAAAGAGCAATTTAGTCATTTAAATAATATATCCATCAATTTATTTTTCCTAAGTTCTAACTAAATATATTATTATAACATACCCACCAATTTATTCTAATTAAACAAACATATTTTCTTAAAGATTTTAATAATTTTCAAGATAATTTAACTTTCATAAATATAATATTCTTAGTAATCCAACATTCTTTAAACCGATCACACACATAATAGTGTTATGTGAAAATGTGAAATTCAATTGCGTGATCATGATGAATAAGATTATATCATATGTTGGAAAAGTATAAATTCTAGTTTAAATTGATTACTGTAAAGTGACAAATTTCTGGGAATATGGAATCAAATTATTCTGTTCTAAAAAGAAAGTAAATAAATTAATAATAAAATAGGGTATAGTAAATCAAATTGATGAAGAGAAGGTAGCATTTTAAGTTGGATTGTATACGGAAGCCAGTTAAGTTAAGAAAACATCGACGTGGAGAGTCGTGAATGGAGGGAGAAGGTGAGTTCACGTGAGCTTTCATTTCAGAAAAATAAATAAACCTGTCCATGTATGTTACTTGCTTTTAAGATTTCAATGAATCAGTCAACTAATTATTACACAATTTGCCAACAATTTGTCTGCTTTTGGTATCTCAGGGTCATGGGGCTGCTTTTGTATTTGGAATATATATTTTAAATAAATCTATTTTATAAAATTTATTCTTTTCGAATAATATTTATCAGATTTTTTAGGTAGAAACTGACTTAAATTTTTAATGTGTTTTATAGACCGTTTGATTCAATAATAATAAAAGATGTTGAGTTGACATTAACTTAATTTTTCTCTTATAACGATTAAATTAACAAAGATAAATAACTTACATGAAATGTAAAAAATAAAGTCAACAAATTTTAAATTATAGATTCCAACCCAATTTTTTAAATAAAATTAGACCGTTTTAATCTTAATAAATTATTTTACTGCTTTAGTCAATTGCTACAAATTATATGCAAAAACAATTTATCAATTTTTAGACTAGTGTTGTGTCTTCATAAATAATTAATTATATCTAAACTTAGCACTCCAATTTTATTTTATTTTATTATATATATATTTTTTGTGAATCGATGTGTCTAAGCCAATTTACATATACCTTGACTAATCATTTAGAGTCTTGAAGTTAACGACCGAGAAAATTCTCAAATAACCACCTCTATTAGTAATTGAGAGAAATCGAATTCAATATCTATTGAGTAATATACGCAATAGTCTATATCGTTCCACCTGATCACTTAGAAGTGGTTTCCTTTTTTTTTTTTTTTTTGATAATTATTTTTGAAAAGTTATTAATTTTTAAACTAATAAGTCTATAATATGTTTTTCACAATGTATTTTGGAAATTTAATTTGTAGTTGCTTTTGAAAATCACATTTTTTTTTATAAGTTTATTATGCAAAAAAAAGAAAAAAAAAAAAAGACAATTACAATTATACCTTATGGTACTTGATTAAATAGATAATTCAATAATTTTTGTTTTTAGGAAAAGTAAATACTAGAAGCGAATTGTTACATTATCGCTTTCCGCCAATTATATGATATATTTGGTGAACATTGTGATCAATTTTCATTAATATATCCAATCATACCTACATATTCAGTAAGTGATGTAACGTTTTACCATTTGAGTTGACTAGAGACTTGAACACATTTGTATAAGTCGGTCACAATCGACCACAAAAGTGCTAATACAGTACAATAGAGTTCGACAACAAGGGTAACCACAATGCAATGTCTATTCTGTTAAAAACAAAATTTGCCAAAAATATTTATACAAATTTATAGCTTATAAATTATAATGATCCCATAAAAAGTATACCCTAAGCTACTTTTATAGTTAGATCAGCATCAAATCTAATTTAAGAATTTTGAGATGATAAATCAAATATCGTAAATGTTAATCATTATTTTTTTATTTAAGTTGTTATACCAAAAAAAAAAATAAAAAAAAAATTCTTTCATTGTTTAATGAAGAAGCTAATACTGTATATCTTTTTTTTTTTTTTTTTAATCAATAAAAGCTCCATTTTTATCATATGTATAATGTATTTTTGTCTACGCAATTTGGCCCCCATGATTTCAATCAATTATATTTTAACCTAAACATTTGAAAAAAAATGACAAATACACTCAAAATATTGACAACCGTTTAAGAGATTTGACAACTAACACAAAATATTCGATGTAAAGAGATAGACACCTACACTGATCCTTTTACTAAAATAAACACATCTGAAAAAACAAAAATTACAACAAATGGAAAACAAATATAGAATGCTAAAATTGAACAAACATTAAATAATAATGATATTGGGATTTAACACAAAAGATGAATAATCCTAATACACCATTGAGCAATAAAACCTAACAACACAATACTAAACTACAGATCTTCCAAGTTAAAAAAAGAAAGTAAAACATTTGAAAAGAAATAAGTCATCATCAATTCACTGGACATGCTTTCAATTTCTATTGTCTCTGTTATCATTTAAGACGATGATACATAACACGAGTGATCGAAATTACTTGATCCACTAAATCATTGTAAAATAGTCACAAAATACAGTTAGAATTTTGACATTAATGTCGTGCTACCCCTATTAGGCACTTTTAAAATAATTTTTTTTATTCATGATATTGACAATTGCCAAATTGTCACCTCAATTTTTCTTATGTTTCACCAAACAACAATCACCCAAAAAAAAAAAAAAAAAAATCAAAACTCATCTATCCTCTAAAACCTAATCCTCTATAAATCTTTATCCATTTATTTTCAACAAACAACTGGTAAAACGAAGGGAGGTGTTTGGTATATTTAAAATGTAGTAATGGAAAACATGGGGGTGGATTTTAATTCCAATTTTGCTAATTCTCACGTATAAAAATCTTTAGTAATAGAATAATAAATAATTTAATAAGAAATCAATGTGGATGGCAATGAATAGTGGGCAGCCTCTGCCAGGTAGTTTACAGGTAAGTCGTGGATGCAACTGTGTTGAGTCTTCTTCCCCCTTTTCGTTTTATGAAATGAATCATGACTGCACATCACCAATCTATAGACTATAATCAAATCATTTCATTTCAATAACCATTTAATTTTTAATGTTCTCACAAGTCAAAATCTCAACTTATAAACTACTGGTTGGTTAACCAATCTTCAATTCACACCCAACATATTCCAAATATGAAACATTATGATAAACTATTTATCATATTAATACCAGTTCATATAATATAGTTTAATTTATTTATTTTTTAAAAAAATATCATGGAAATTATCTAATCAAATGTGAAAGAAAATTTATGGTGAAAGTAATTGGAAAAATTCAAAAGCTTGAAAATACAAGTAACTGATTTAAGATTTAGAAAGGTTGGTCAGGTAAATTATTAAGCAGGTGAAAAAGAGGAAAAAAAAAAAAAAAAAAAGAATATTAAATAATATAATGATTGCATAAATACAATGTATTATAAGTAAAACAAACATAATGTAAAAATGTGTGTGGATGGAACGGTGACCGAAGTTGTGGTTTTCATTTGTTGTTGGTTGTTTTTGGATCTGAGAGCTTCACCCTTTCTCTCTCTCTCTCTCTCTTTAAGAAAACAAAAACAAATAACAGCTACAGCATACAGAGCGAAAACACATATAAACATAAATCAATTATATAGCTTTAGTTTCTCTCTTTCTTATTTTCGAAAAACATTTTGCTTCTTTCTCGAACCTCCCAACATCCCTTTCTCTGCTCGATCTTCTTCTCCTCCTCCTCGTATCTTTTTACTTCCTTTTAAAGCTTCCATTTTCAACTCTCTCTCTCTCTCTCTCTATAGCTAGCTCTCTAGGTTTCTTGATTGAAGATCACGAAGAATTCAGAAGCACTGTGTTTCGCTGTGAATGGAAAGAGACAACGTGCTTTAAGTTCTTGAATTTCAGTAGCGGAGCTTGTATTATATTATTATTATTATTATTATTTTTTATTTATTTGTTGTTGAGATGTTGTATTTGAAGCAGCCTAGCTCTATTATATGTAAAGGCTGTGATCGTTGGGTGTAAATTTATAAAGAATTCACATACTGGTGCATGCTTTTGTGATAATTTCCCTGAGCCGGTGGCTCGGGGAAGATCTGAACTGTAAATTTTGAGAAATTTGAGAGAGTGTCCAGTGATGGCGTCATCAGAGAATGGGACCTCCTCTCAGTCGCTTTGTATGCAAAAATTCAGGCTCTACGAGACCCGATCGGTAATTTTCTTTATCACTATTTTCTTCGATCTCTTCAATTTCGGCCGCATTTGTTGCTAAATATGATTATTATGTTTGGATTTCGGATTCTAGATTGGATTTTTATCGTTTCCATCTAATTTAAAGACAGGATAGTTTAATGCTGCAAAGAATTTAATGAACTAGCAAATTCGTATCTTATAGTGTTTAAAGATTTGTGAATTTTGCTGCTAGAACATTTTGTTCATGTATTCCGCTATTTGTGTAATGGTTTTAACTGATAAGTTTTGAACATTTTATGTTCAGATGTTTTACATGATAGGAAGAGACAAGGACAGAACATATTGGAGAGTGCTAAAGATTGACCGGTCAGATCCTTCGGAGCTGAACATTCGTGAAGATTCTACCACGTATACTGAAGGTCAATGTTCTGAGTTGTTGAGACGGATACATGAAGGGAACTTATCGACTGGTGGACTAAAATTTGTCACTACCTGTTATGGAATTGTTGGTTAGTTGATTTTTGTTTGTGTTGTAGTATTTTTGGATTGATTGTAATTGTTACTGTGATGCTAATGGAGGTTTTATTTATTTATTTTTATAGGGTTTGTTAAGTTTTTGGGGCCTTACTACATGCTGCTTATCACAAAAAGAAGGCAGATTGGTGCAATTTGTGGTCATAGTGTGTATGCTGTTTCCAAGACTGAGATGATTCCACTTCCGAATTCAAGTGTCCAGTGCAGTATCGCTGATTCTAGGGATGAGAACAGGTCTATTGTCCATTTTGTGTATAAATGTATATTGTCAGGGAAACTATCAATATTTTTTCAGAGATAAATGGTGTTCTAGATCTTATTTTATTTTCAGTACTTTGTGGAAACTATAGTTTTCTATGTGATTCTATGTGTTCCTTTAACCTTTTGCAAACTAGTAAGTGGGTTACAGTTCATGCTTCATCTTTCAACAATATTAAAAGTGTTTCACTTCTTATGTATAGCTAAAGTTATAGATTTGAAAGGAAGTATGCATTGGCAAACCATCGTATTGGTTATGATATTTCATTTGATATTTTGAATTTAGAGGCAGTATTGATAAAATTCTGCAGTTTTTGGAGGCAAACTTCATGCTTGCTTGTTTTAATTTGATCAGCAAATGTGTTACTAGGATTTTGTTCCTTTTTTCTTTATTCAGATATTTTCTTGTAGTTTAGTCATTTATTTATTTTTTTGGTTTCTCTATCTGGTGGTGACATTTTGATCTGAGGTTTGTGAGGGTTTTGTTGTTGATTTGAATATTCTGTGTTTCATTGATGGCTTAGATACAAGAAGCTTCTGTGCACGGTGGATCTTACAAGGGACTTCTTTTTCAGCTACTCATATCATGTTATGTGTAGTCTTCAAAAGAACTTATATGATACTCAGACAGGGCTGGTCCTCTATGAAACCATGTTTGTTTGGAATGAATTTTTGACCCGGGGAATCCGGAACCACCTCCAGAATACTATGTGGACAGTTGCATTGGTGTATGGCTTCTTTAAACAGGTGAGTCATGGGTGGTGTGCTGATGATCTGACCCTCTGATAACTCAATGTATAAATTATGAGTATGACCAATAGAAAACTTTTCCCTTCAGACGTGTGTTTCAAGACTGCCTTGTTTGTCAGTTGTATTGGATGTTATTGGCCAATCATTAATTGATTTTTTTAATTATGGGATATTGTGCCTTCAATATAAACCATAATTCTTGATATCATATTAACTGAACAAGGAGAATTTCAGTAATCTTTGTCTTTCATTTCTATTTTAGAATGCTGGTTTGTAGGCATATACTTTTTACTTAAAAAGTTTCTTTTGTTAGACAATGATTGAATTTATTTGCGGTGTGGTCAGTTTCCTGAATCACTTTTGAGTTTTAGAACATACTGGATTTTCTTTATCCAGCGTTAGATTTTATGTTCCTATCTTCTGAAGCTTGTTTGACCCTTTTTCAAGTATCATTGTTTGATGTTTTACTTATGGCTTCATGCTACATGAATATAGGACACACTTTCTATATCTGGACGCGATTTCAAACTTACTCTCATTGCTAGACGTTCACGACATTACGCTGGTACCAGGTATGATATTACATGCCATTGGAAAGTTTGCAAAGATATATATTTTTTAAATGTTTGCCGAGGTTGTGAAAGTTTTAGTTGTGTTCCTGTTGTTACTTTTTGTCATAGGAAACCAAAGGTATGTGTTCCAGTTTTAAAGCTTTAACTAGGATTCCATTGCTAAGAGAAATTTCGGTTATGTCTTTAAAAGTATTTATTAGGAACCTACTGGTGTTAGATTGCTTGCACACATACTCTTTCTCTCAATAAATTTATATATATATGAAAAGTGGTGATTGATATTGGCTATGATTGTTATTAATAAAAAAAATTAATATCGTTAGAGATCAAGATTTTGTAAGTTCTTGTATTTTCTAAAGCATCACATTGTCTGCTAATATGTAACTTTGATGTCTGTATAAGTTAACTTTATAGTTTTTTCTCTCTCATCCTTAAGGTATTTGAAACGAGGCGTGAATGAGAAAGGTAGAGTAGCTAATGATGTTGAGACGGAGCAGATTGTGTTTGAAGATGTCCCTGAAGGTTTTCCAGTGCAAATAAGTTCTGTTGTCCAGAACCGTGGTTCCATCCCACTTTTTTGGTCACAGGAAACCTCACGTTTGAATATTAAACCAGATATTATACGTATGTGCTTGCAGTTGTTACATTACTTAAGGTGATGTATTACATATTTCTTTCAACTACTAACTTCTTTTTCCTTGCAGTGTCAAAGAAGGACCAGAATTATGAAGCCACTAGACTTCATTTCGAAAATCTTGTGAAGAGATATGGAAACCCTATTATTATTTTGAATTTGATTAAGGTCAGTTGCTTAAATATAGCATTATGGGTTTTGCCCTCCTTGCTTTTCATAACTGTCACCATTTTCTTCATCTTTACAATATCATATTGGATATGCCCTGTATTTCATCTTTATGACTGTAGTATACTGGTGTAACAGCTGGATAATATGTTCATTTATGATAGTATATGGACATATCTTGTTATGAGAGTTGTTCCCAAATTTCAATAAGTAGATTATAGACCATGGGCTTGATATAATGCCTACAGAGCATAGAGTGGTCTATTCTATTTCGTTATGCAATGGTCATTTTGACTCCAACACCAGTAATGCTGTCATTTGCATTTATTAAATTAGTGTTAGTATTATTGTTATTATATAAGGACATATCCTTCTAAATTAATCATTGTTGTTGAAAAACTCTTTCAAAATGATTATACGAACACCATGGTGTAGAATTAAAAGTGAGTTGGATGTTGTAAATAGTGAAAAATCTTCAAATTATTCTGTTACTAGCAGAAAATGAGGGGCTTATGTAGCTCCTTCAATTTGTGTGAATGTGATTAGCAGAATTTGGATCGTTTTGGTTTTTTTATTTTTATTTATTTAAAAATACTCTTTTGCTTCTCACCTTTCTGCTATTAACAGACACAAGAGAAGAAGCCTCGGGAGTCAATTCTTCGTCAAGAGTTTGCTAATGCAATTGATTTTATTAACAAAGATTTATCAGAGGAAAATCGCCTGAGGTTTCTTCATTGGGATCTACATAAACATTCTCGAAGGTATATAAGCTTAATTGTTATAGGTTTACGCTCCCTTCCCCAGTGATGCCCTTCTGAATATATTATTCTCACTGCAAATATTTTTCCTCTCTTCCCAGCAAAGCAACAAATGTTTTGCTACTTTTGGGCAAAGTGGCTGCATATGCACTGACGTTAACAGGGTTCTTTTATTGTCGAGTAACGCCAGCCCTGAGGCCAGATGAATGCGTAAACTGGCCTTCTTCGGAGTAAGTTCATCGCGTTTCAGCAATTTCTAGTCATTTATTAAACTTTGCTCCGTATGAATTGTTGTGAAGTTTTGGATGGTTGATTAGTAACATGGTTCATAAGCCAGTCACTTTTCTAGTCCCTTTTCAGCAACTTCTTCTGATCATGTTACTAATTTTCTATTGTTCTTGTTTTGTTTTTAATTATGGTTCAATAACAGCAAAGTTGGCATTTAAATTGGATGCAGGAATGTGGACAATGGCAACTTCTCTCCCCAGAATCATTGTGAAAATGATAATGAAGATTCACATAGCTTAGAGAGGAATCATATTGGTGGTAATGGTGTTGCTAATGGAAACCATTCTATTAAGCCTTCCAAGTTACAGAGGGGTGTGCTGAGGACCAATTGCATAGACTGCCTGGACCGTACAAATGTTGCTCAGTATGCGTATGGGCTGGCTGCTCTTGGACAACAGCTTCATACTCTAGGGTTTATAGATACCCAAAAGATTGACCTGGATGCTCCATTGGCAGACGATTTGATGGGGTTTTATGAGAGGATGGGTGACACACTTGCACACCAATATGGTGGCTCAGCGGCTCACAATAAGGTATTTTTAAGTTATGATGCTGCTTTGAAGAATTTGCTTCTTTTTTTCTTTCTCAAATAGAGTTGTATGTTGTAGATTTTGGGTATATTTGGTTTCTATTCTTCCACTATGAGAAGTCACTTAACATAAATTTGAATGTATGAGTGGCAGGAGTACAATTTTAATTTTAAGATTACATCAATCGATATAAAAATTCTTACATCAAAGCAAAAATCTCTGATCCAGAATTGAGTGTGCCCATGCTAGATCTCACCAATTTTGAGTCCCCAAATTTGTTAATTAAAGATATAGAGAATTTTCCAAGTTGATCAAAGTGACTGATTGGATTTGACTAATAATGTAGAAGATAACTGAATTTACCACCATAAGAACAGGAAAAACCAAGCGGTGGTTGTAAGCTCTAATAAAGGAAAGACATATAAATATTTCATTCTGACTGTAAATGTAAAGAGTTGCGGTCACCATTGCCATCAGTAAGTAGCTTCCCAAGGTTTATTCTTCATCTCATTCTCACTCCAACTCTCTCTGTCATTATGTGTGAGGATAATTGCAAGTAATTTTTTATGGCTTTACCTGTTCTCTAAAAGATTTGAAACTTTAATTGAATTCAGTAACCTTGTGGATTTGATGATGGACCTTGGGAATTTGACGAGCTAGTTATTGACCCTGTGTTTGTGGATCCCCATATTGACAGTGACACTCCTACTTTTCATAATCTAGCTGTTGACGTAACAATATGTGATCCTCCATTTATTAATTGACCCATTTTTGTTATGCACAGATATTCTCTGAGAGACGGGGTCAGTGGAAAGCGGCTACCCAGTCCCAAGAGTTCTTCAGAACTCTTCAACGGTATTATAGCAATGCATACATGGATGCAGAGAAACAAGATGCGATTAATGTGTAAGCAAGTTGTGTTTTCTGTACTGCTTAGCTTGGTTTCCTTTCAGGGAAATGTAGGGCTGTCTTCAATTACTCATCTTTTTACATGTGTAATTGAATTTCTAAGTTAATCCATCCACTTGCGACTTTTGTGTGTTCAAGAAATAACTGTAATTTGTTGTCTGGTATAACAATCATTTAGTCTGCTGCATGTGGTATTTTTCAATTATGCATTCTGTTTGTTCTTTCTATATTACAAATAATTTTTTTCTCTTTTTGTAGATTTCTGGGCCACTTCCAGCCACGACAGGGTAAACCTGCACTCTGGGAGCTGGATTCAGACCAACATTATAGTATGGGAAGAAACGGGCAAACAAATATTGATGATGATGGAAGGTTAGTTGACTATACAAAGCCTCTAACTTTTTAAGTACATTTCCTTCAGGTGAAATAAACCAGTCATTGCTTGCTTATTCCTGGAAAAGATTTCATTTGGATCTCAAACTACATTCAGTACCTTTCAATTTCATTTTTCCAATATTCTCGAATTAGGCCTTTTATCAATAAGCTGTACCTTCCATCTCTTTTTCACCTATGAAGATGGGAGGTTTATTGTATAACTGCCAAAGCTTAGAACTTCAGTTGATAGTAATGGCTTTATTATAGTATTTAAGTTTTAACCTGTTTCTTCACATACAGGAGGGTTTTAATCAACAGGCTTTTTCAAGTCAATCAAACACAAACGTAATGTATTGTTACTTAATTAATTACAGGAGGATTTGGACAGAAGGCATCTAGGTCAAACTCGCTTTTTTAATATTATGTTGGGTAACCATTAACCTTTACTTTTTAAACTAATAAGTAAGGTATTAGCAATAATATTCAATCTCTAATTTGATGAAACACTAATGTGGTATCGTTCATTCGTTTGGTAAGTTTCACCATTGGGAAATTGTATAATTCTTACTCTCTATTTGTTTTAATGTGAGAGACGTTTTGAAGAGTTTAGGATGCTAAAGCTTTGAAGTTCCTATATGTTTTCCTGAATATTTTTTAGAAAATTTGTTTAGCATGAAAGAGTCCATGGTCCATCTATCGTGCTAGTGGTTGATTTATGACATTAATGTATCTTCAATCAGCTTTAGAAACCTATTAATTTTTCTTGGAAAATTTCTTTTTCAAAACAAAAAGACTTGGAGCATTGCATTCTCAAGTCATGGTCATCAACCAGTGCATTTTTACATGGTGCTTGGTTTTCCATCATCTGGCTGAAAGTTTACAATCTATATTTCACTGACTTGAGCTATATGGTGACTGGGTGTGAGGAATTCTGTTTGTTGATTATTAGAGCTTAAGCTTTTTGGGGTTGGTAGTAATTTAATATAGTATTATTAGTACCAATCAAATCTGTGGTTTAATCTTTGTTGAATTTAAGCTTTTTGGGTTTGCTCATGCTTGAAATTGTGGTTCTGGTTGTAGTAGTGGTTTAATCTTTGTCTTGCACATGAGGGAGCATGTTAGAGCTTTAACCTTTGTTTTTAGTGGTAAATTGATACTATGTTTTTAGGTGCCATTTTTTTTAATAGTATATTTGCTTTAGTGTGATCTATGCATATCATCTTAAGAATTTTGTCGCTGTAGCTTATCTGTTTCTGATTATATAAGTATTTTCAGGTCATTTTTCAAGAGATCGTTTTCAGATGGAAACATTCTTCGTGAAACTGGGACACCCATGTCTGCCACGAATCTCAAGCAGGAGAAATTTTGCAATTCAGGTTTTCCCAATCAATTGCAGGGAGGAAGCAATTGTCTTTCAGAGTCATCACCTGAGATATCGACTTCTGAAAGTGATATGGCATTTTCAAGGTCAGCATAGTCCTCTTTGGTTTGTTGGATAACTATAGTCCTCTTCAGTTATTATTTCTGCATCAATAGCCATTGATACTCACTTTCGTGTGTCACTGGGAGTTGGAATCTAGGAAGTTTTCCTGGCTGTATGCATACAGTGTTTTGCTTTCAATTTCAGTTATTTCAAGTTTAGCTATTATTTATCTAATTATTTATTACTGCTGGTTTTTTTTTTATCTGAACATTGTTTCCAAGCAATTGTGGTTATTAGGATAAATAGAAAAAACTATATGTGTTGATCAAGTCTTTGCCTTCTATAATTGCATTTCTGGATTATGAGCCTTTTTTTGTCTCAGTTTGTTAATTAGTTAATTAAATAAATTTTGAAATTGATTGTTGCATTCATGACAAAGTTCATTGTAATGAATGGAAGAAAAAGTTGTTTTTGTGCTACATGCTAATGTTTCAGACAGTTTCTTGTTGATTTGGCTGGCTAATTAGCTATTAATTTTACTTCTTTGTGTAGGTATACTCCCTCTATGCCTCACAAGCAGCTGTTTGGAGATGTGCAAAGAGATCGATACCTTGAAAGTGATCATATATACTTCTCTGAACATGGAGATACATCCAGTTTCTCAAATTTTGTTGATCTAGACTGGCTATCATCCTCTGGAAATTCATGCGAGGAAGAGCCATATGAAAGGTATTTAACGAGCTAACTCTCTTCTTCTTTATCCTTTCATTTTCCCCCTTTTTTCATCTTAGATAAATTATGGCCGGTAATTTCTGTTCTTTTGGTAGTATATTTAATTTTTAGAACAATATGCCTGTTAAATATACAGACTCTTTCCATTAAATTCAGGGTTTAACAGAATTATTCACTTAAATTCAGTGAGAAAACTAGGGCACAGTAAATGGATCACTTTTCAGTGAAGGGTTTATGTGTGTTTTCCATTTCTTGAAGTTGGCTAACTACGAATCAAGGGATAACTTGTCTTGTGTAACTTTAACGTGAAAAATAATACATTTTCCTCATTTATTTTTAAAAATATCTGCAGGTCATCAGTGCTTACGAGCTCACCAATTGGTGGGCTATCATTGGAGAATGTTGTCAATGGAGTAATTGGAGATGCTACCCCTTCCACCAGTGAATGTGGATCCAGCATGAAGGTTAGTACCTTCTATGCAATGCTGGGTGAATTTTTCCTGTCAAACTTACTTCCTGATTACACCGTAATCACACTATCTAGATATCAATCTGTCTTTGATTCACTGCAGTAAATTATTCGTGCTCTTATGCTGCAGGACAATGTGACATGCATGGAAGCAACCATCGGACCATTACATCATTTTTTATTTGGGTTTCTACATAAGTATGCTAAAAAAGAATAATTGCATATATTTCTTATTGTTTTGAGAGTTATTTTGGCCTAATCCATTTAGATTATAGAATAAATACCCAAAAGTCAATTCATAATCTCTTATTTGAAAATTTGTGTTAAAGTGTGACCATCACATACATGTGATCTTTTCCCGAGGGATGTTGTCTTGCTGTTGTTTTAATTGTCAAAATATCAAAAGAAAATAAATAATTAAATTTTTTTTGAGAAGAATGGTTGGTCAAAAGTTCTATTTTTGTTGGATAATAGTTGATATGATATTGTGTTAATATTACCCTGGTTTCTATGTTATGTTGTGTAGGGAAGGGAGCAGACTGGAACAGAAATAGAGCTATGCTACAGTGATGCTCAGGATTCCAATGTTCTTGAAGACTATTCTGATAGCTTTGTCCAATGGGTAACCCATGGAGAGACGCTCTGCCATTGAAGTCAGACTTACATTTCCCCGGATTTAGTTATGCGTCCTTCATTGAACTGAAGAGGGATCTGAATCAGTCAATTCATTGATACAGAGAAAGCTTAACAGAGATAGTAGGATCAAGGAGAAAGAAAAGCAGTGGTACGGTTATCCAGTCTTCTTTAGGATGTAATTGAGGCAAAGCAATCCTTCTGTTGTACGATTCACGGCATTGATTTCGTCTGAAAAACCGCAACCGGAACTGATATCAAAGTACAAAAGAGTAAATAGCAACAGTAAAAATTCTTTTTGGAGCCCATAATTTGCTTGTTCCATCTTTTTATGGACTTTTAGGCGTCAATGTCAATCTTGTAAATATATGTACTTGGCTCTACGAGAGCTCCACTTTTAGAGTTTAAGGTCATTAATTCTTTATTTTTGTTCATGTTTACTAGTGGTCCGTGCTCAATTACTAAAATTGAAGTTAAAAGTATTTTGGAAGAAAGACCAACAATAATAGGACTCATGTTGTTACTAAACCAAGGTGTCAAGTTTTAAATCCACGACTTCTCTCAAACTTTTAAGCTCTTCTCCTTATAGTTATTCAGTGGTTTTTTTCTTTTTTCCGTAAATTTTAAATTATTAATTATGCAAAATTCGAATTTATTTCATTTGCCATGAACCAAACTACGCGTTTGCTTTGCAAATGGAGTAACTTTCAAAGCTACATCTTAGCATCTCAACACTAATTTATATTTCTCTGTTGGTAACACTGATTTTTGCCGCACAAATTTGCAACGTTACTATTATGATAATGGGTTAGTATTATTTTGAATTATTAGATGGGTGCTAAAAGAATTAACTTATAGTTGTTGACAATATTACTAATAGTTTCTAATAGCAAGATGTAATAATGTAAATAAAAGTAGAGAATATTATTTGTGGGTTCTTTAAAAAAAACAGATTTCAGTAGTGCATTTTGGAGTTTACATTGTGAGATACAGGGATAACTTTTATTTAGTTAAGTGGCATGAAAGTCGAGTGAGTTTCTTAAAGGATACCAGAGCCAGAGGCTGATATGTCACCTCAATTTTCAGGACCACAGAGATGAAGGTAATGCCACGAGACATGTCAATTATTTGGTTTTGGTATTTGCTTTGTTGTCTTGTCATGTGAATACAGTTGTAATTGTAGCACTGAGTCACTGACCAAGTCCAAGGGTTAAATAAAAAAAGATAAATAAAAAATTAGTATAAAGAGGGGCGTTCCGAGAATCGAACTCGGGACCTCTCGCACCCAAAGCGAGAATCATACCACTAGACCAAACGCCCGACTTGCTGAGGAATTCAACAATATTCAAACATTTTAAACCGAGAATAACAAGGAAATTTCAGACCATCCCAACGAAGAAAAAAGATATATAATTCATGAAGCAGTCAACTTTTAAAACTCTGCTGGTATCATTGTTGTGTTGGTGTTTATTTTACCGATAATCCTAAATGTCCAAACAAATATTTGATGTGTCAGAAAATGAATGGAAGAGTGAATATGATAAGTTTGACTTTTTGTACCTATTCTTCCATTCATTTTCTGCCACATCAGTTTGTATATAAATCTTTGTAAGAGTTATTTGTACATATAGTATTACTCTTATTTTACTCACTGCCTTGAGATGAGGTAGTTTAAACAACCCCATAGTGGAACAAGTTTGCGTGTAAGATATCCAACATCTGATATTTGTATAGGGGTATCCACAACTCCTTTGCGGGCTTCGTAACAAGAAATGATATATTCTGTTAACGACAATCCTTTGTATAAATTGTTTTGGATGGATAAATCAATAATTTGTTCTTGAGGATCAGACATTAATCCTCTCATACTTGCTAATTGGTGTACTTGAGTGCATTTCCTCTAGCTCCCGAAAAAGACATTATATGGACAGGATTAAACGGATCAGCCATCTGAAATTAGGATTCATTTCTTGTCGCAATTATCCACTTGTAGCATACCATATCTCACTGGATTGACATAGCTTTTCTACTGCATGTACGATCCCATAAAGATGGTGTTTTTCCAAATGATGTTTTTTTTTTTTTTTTTTAATACTTTATTAGATGACTGAATGATAATCTAGTGAGGTACATAATATTTTCGTAAAACTCGGTTTTTTCAAACTTTTGATCTCTAAGGGTTAGATAATAAAACCCAATTATCTTCAACACAAACATTACATATTAACATTATTAAGTACAAAATTATTTATAATTTTCTATTATTTTCAAACTAAACAATTTAAACCAAACCCTTTCCCATTCTAAACATGAGTTTATATTAAGATGTTTTTTGTTCAACCTAAGATTCAATTGATTGAACTAATTAATCTCCACAAAAAATAAATAAATAAATAATAATTATTCTTATTAGTTTAGAGATTAGGTTAATTTAATTCTACTTTCATTTAATAATAAAAAGGTTAACATTATTGGAGTCAGACTTTTCTCTCAAATTAGAAAATTCCAAATATGTCACATTTGTTTTAATCAAAAATCTGTTTCTGACAATGTATTATTTTTTAACCGGGGTGTCGGATCCATTTAACACATCTAACTATATTCGGAGTTTATTGAACACCCTACAAGTTTTAAGAAATTTCTGACAATAATATTATTGCTCAGAGGTCATAAATACCTCAAGAAGACGAAAGGAAAAAAAAAAAAAAAAAAAATGGCTTTTATGATTTGAAAAATAGATTAGGAAAAAGCCTATGTCAAGATCAGTTGGTCTTTTGCAGAAACTGTTTCGAAGGAATTGGGTTTCAAAGGTAGCTTACTGTCTTTTGCAGAAACTGTTTCGAAGGAATTGGGTTTCAAAGGTAGCTTACTGAGTCTCATTTGCAGTTGTTTCAAGTCAGTAACTTAATCAACTTTTAATAAATGATTAAATGGTGAACTTGCTAAACCCTGCTCTCCTGAAAGAGGTCTCAGTCTCAGGCAAGGTGACCTTTATCCCTGTACCTTTTTGTTCTGTGCTTTGAAGAATTAGGTCATTGCATTACATATGTTAATAATGGACTTTGGAAGCCTATTGAAGCTAGTGCTTCAGGTCCAAAAGGTTCTCATCTCTTTTTAGCGGACGACCTCATGTTGTTCTCAGAAGCTTCTCGTTCCCAAACTCAAGTGGTAAAGGAATGCCTTGACAAATTCTGCTCTTTATCAGGCCAAACAATTAGCTTGACAAAGTCCAGAATTTTTTCTCGCTTAATGTAACTACTCAAGATGCTTACTCCATCAACAACTTCTGTGGCATACGTACTATATGGGTGTGCCCTTGTTCATAATAAAGTCACTAAAAGTTAAAAGTACTTACGGCCATGTGGCTGAGAAGATCAAATCCAAACTCTTATCTTGGAAAAGCAATTGTCTCTCTCTTGCAGGTCAGACTGTTCTAATCCAATCTGCTTCTTCCACCATTCCAAATTACACAATGCAGACGGTTAAGCTCTCTTCCACAATCACTAAGAAGATTGACTCCTTGAATTAAAAATTTCTCTAGGGTAATGTTGAAAACTCTACTAGACCCTACCTAGTCAACTGGAAAGAAGTTTGTAAACCGAAAATGCTCGGAAGTCTTGGCTTAAAAGACAGAAAACACTTGAATAAAGCCCTCTTAGCTAAAAATACTTGGCGTTTGTTCTCTAAGGATCAAAGTTTGTGGTCTGACTTACTTTCTGAGAATTACCTCAAGAATGATCCTTTGATTGGTGACAAAATCCTCAACACTACCAACAATGTTTCTTCTACTTGGTGAGGCATTCTTGTAAGAGCTGAAACGTTGAAATCTGGCTTAAAGTGGAGGGTGGGGAGTGGTATGAGCATATGCTTTTGGACTGATATTTGGGTTGGACAAATGCCTCTTTTTCACTCTGTTATCTCTGAGGCCTGAATCTTTGATATTGGTGCCAAAGTTTGTGCCTATCTCCTGGGAAATGACTGGAACATAGAAAAACTAAAAAGTAGCCTGATCCTATTGGTAAGATTTTAGCCTTGCCTTTGGTTAATTCTCTGCAGGTAAAGACACTCAAGTTTGGGGTCATTCTTCAAATGGCGTTTTTACTGCGAAATTAGCTTACGCTGTCAAACACAACCTAGATCAATCTCAAGAATGGAGCTCGGCTTTTATTTGGAAGATGAACATCCCTCCAAAGTTGAAGACTTTCTTTTCTTGTGGTTTTTAGCTAAAGGGCGACTGATGACAAATGAGGAATATTGTAAAAGACACTACTCAGATTCAGATAATCCTGGGTGCCTTAGATGTTGACGACTCTAATCATATTCTCAGACAACGACCCTTGACCTGAAAAATCTAGCAAGCGGTTAGATGGTCTCGAAATGCAATTCATACCGTTGTTGGCGATTTTGATTTCCACCAATGGCTTCAAATCAATCTAAAAATTTTCCTAGGGGATATTAATTGGAATATCCTCATTTGGTACGCTTGGAAGGAAAGCAATAGAGTAGCCTTTAACCCCAATGATCATTCTCGCCTTTACACACACTTTACAGTGGTTCATAATGCTTTAGACTTTAGACTGGGTCAACAACCTGACTTCTAAAGCACATTAAAAACTTCCAACGGTTGATCTTTTTCATTGGGAGTATCCTCCACAAGGACACTTTAAACTGAACACTGGTGGTTTTAAAGCTAGGAATGACGGCACCATCGGCGTAAGAAGAGTTATCCGTGATGATTGTTGTAGCTGGTGTTGGGGGTTTAGTGCCAACAAAGGTTGTGGCTCAGTGTTGGACGCTGCATTGTGGGGCTTGCTTCATAGTCTTCAAATTGCTCTGGACAAGAATCTGGTTACCATTTGCCTCCTTGGGCTCTTGTTTGTTTGTTCGTGTTGGGCTATGCCCCTTGTTTCACTCAAAAAGGTAAACTTAAACATTACTATATGGCAAAACCAGAGTTGCGGCAAACATTCATAAGACAACAAAAACAGAGAACTAAATATTATATTCTTCGATGAGAAATAGAATAACTTCGCCTTCGTTTTCAACGTAATAGCAAAACAAAGGAGTGCAAAATTAAGCAGTCACCTTGCCATAATGCTATGGTGGAACTTCAACAAATCTTAGAATGACAAAGCGCATCTGCTTAAATCAAAATTAAAAATTCTTGGACTCTACTGAAACTCAGCCAAGAATGGGAAAGATGCGAGTAATGTGCTCCAATGGGATGTTATCAGCAGTGTTTTTCTTAAGCTCAGGATGGTTAAATTCACTGTGAGGCAAGATGATAAGTTGGCCCCTCCCATGACCCTTCTCAAGAATCCAGCCACAATTGGCCTCCTGATGCTCTAGGAATTTGTCAAGGGATAGACCTTCGATATTGATAGCCTAAGATGATCATGTTGAATCAGAAAATTTACATCGGAAGTTAACAACGAGAGCAGTTAAAAAACAATATTTGATTCATACTCTAGGGTGAAACAAAGACTACAAGACAGAGACATTTTGAGTATTGCTCAATGACACAAGTTTTTTGCCAGCTACCTGGTCTAGGAAATAAACCATGATTTTGCTATATATTGAACAGACAAAGAAGATTTGAGCAGTATATATGAAAATAACACATACCTCAGCAAGCACAGGCCTGGGAACCTTTTGATAGGTCAAGGAAAGAACATGAATTGCATAGGATTGGATTGCTTGCTCAAAACCTGCAGTTGAACCCTTTTGTAAGCCATAGGACATTCAAATTCCCCTCACACGCAAATATGGAAACAAGAACAAAAAGCATAGTAGCAGCAAAATAACACTAAAGCTGATATTTCCAGTGCGGGATGCCAGACAATCAACTTGTCTCAAGGGCAGAAAATCAGTTTCCCTAGTTCTAAGCTAGAGGTGGCGATGGGCCGTGCCGGCACGGCCCATAATTTTTGTGGCAGGACATGAAAATTTCGTGCCGTGGGTTTAGGATTTGGCACGTGGGCTGGCATGGCATGGCCCACGAATTTAAAATAAAAAACAAAAAACAAAAAAAATCAATATAACCGTTGCAAAAAGCAACGGCTACAATTGTAGCTGTTGGGTGGGCTGGCTTATATAAGCCGCCCACCCCCCTCTCCCAATTTCCAATTACTTTACTTCCAAATTCCAATTTCAATTATTCTTCCTCTCCCTCATTTGAGAGAGATGAAATGTGAGAGAATAAGAATTAGAATTTAGAGGTAGAAGTAATCGAAATTGGAAATGAGGGAGAGAGCCCACCCAACGGCTACTTTAGTAGCCAATGGCTACAATTGTAACCCGTTGCACTTGAATATAGCCATTGCTTTTTGCAAAGGCTATATTAATTTTTTTTATTTTTTTAAATTCGTGGGCTGTGCCGTGCCGGCCCACGTGCCAAATCCTAAGCCCACGGCACGGCACAAAATTTTCATCCCGTGCCATGGTGGGCTGTGCCAAAAAAATTGTGGGCCATGCTGGCCCGCATCTCCACCTCTACTCTAAGCTTTAGATGCAGGAAAACAAAGGACCATCTCACAAATAAACAACCATAGCATATGGACTTAATCAGATTAACCTCAAAGTCCTGGCTCAGAACAGGGGTTAGCATGCCTCAGAATTCAGATTTGTCAAATAAGCCACCAATCATGCACTATTCTTATTTATAAATATATATCTCTTCCTTAGTGTGAAAGGCATCCTCTAATCAAATTATGCAGGGAGTAGTACCAAAAACAAAATTTAAATCTATAGATATATAACCAAAGTTTCAATATATTTTTTCCCTTTAATATCCAAAAGTCCCTCAACCTTTCATAAGTGTTTGTTATGTTCTAAACTAAGGACTATTGTCAGACTCTATAACGTCAGTAATTAGGAAACTGTGGAATATAATATTTCAAGTAGGTGGCCCCAAGGGGAGTTAATCCTTGACCCTCTTGGATTTAACCAAAGGTCTTAACCAATTAACCCAACCATTGGGTTAGATTTCCCTAAAATTAAAATATAACTGAACATATACTAAATAGATAAACCAAAATAATACATCTAGGAACATACACCAGTGGATCATCACATAAAAACTTGTTATTACCTGGCACAGATTCAACTATATGGCGACTCTTAGCTGCTTCATCCCAAAACTGACGGAGCCTTCCTGTCTGCAACAAATGTAGGCATGAAGCAATCAACCAATTCATAGACGTTTACTTCTACAAACAGCAAAAGTACATACCTCCAGGTAGTGAGAGAGAACAATAAGTGTCTTAAACTGCTCTTCCATTTGCTGATAACACAGTTAAAAACTTCTATAATCAGCCATTAGAAGAAAGTAAAACACTGAGACTCTAGAACAAGCACAATTTAGGGCAAACAAATTTCTCAGTAAATTGATAATAGTTCTGTCAATACAGACATTTGACTACCACATGTAAACTCTCAAAATTTTCAAAGAACCAACAAAACGTACTCTCCTTGTCTCTATAAATTCTTGGTAGCCCCTCTCTCTCTCAATGCAAACATATATGCATAAATAGACATACATTCAAGCAGCATGTAAAATGTATGTATATACATAGTCTAGAAAGGAAGAAATTGCCCAGGGATAACCTACAGCAATGCTCATTCAAGCAAACTTAGTTGCGGATGTCTAACTGCATAGCACTAGTATGCCTGAGACACAAGAAAAGATATTGACAGAAAAATACCACTCGTTCTGGAATTAGAAAGAGACAGAGGCTGAAATCCGGAGCTGGCATAGCCATGAGCGCCTGCTCATAAGAAAATAGAAGACCAAGCATCAAAAACACATTATATGTCAATCTGCAGCAAATGCATTCTAATGTGGTTTGAGCAAAAGCTTAAACAGACCTTAACCAAGATGCGAGCAACAATTTGAGTACTCATCCGTTCTGGCTCAAACTGCATAAAAAATCACAATATTATGCAAAGGACACTTGATAACTTAGTTTAACTAAATCTTCTGAACTAAAAGGGAAAAAGAAAAAGGAATGACTGAGAATACCTGATAAAGGCGAAGAAGGCAAAGATTTGCATCCAGACTGTATGTTTGTGATGAAACCTAACAAACATAGAATCTCTTATTATAATGATATATCTATAAACTTGTTCCTAGTTTTTAAAAGCCAGATTGGTCAACAGATCTATAATCAAAGACTACACATTGATCAGGGAAATTCATCAACTTCAGGCCATGGACGATTTTCAGTTCTGTTTAGTGTTTAAATTTGAGCATATGAATACATGAACTAGATAGCAGCTTTACTAGCCACCAATGAATGCATTATTGAATTCTATCAGGAAAACATTTAATTCCTACAATTATACCAATGAAGAAAATCAAGGCCTTCAAAATTACTTCCACGATCTAAAATAGCAATTTAAAAAAAAAAAAAAGGTGAAGTTTCCCCTAGGGAAAGTACAAAACCATAAAAAAAATGGATCATTAAACCTACCGGCTTGGAACTTCTATAACAGTAAAAGAACTATTGAAACTTAAAATCGTGAAGGCCATAGTTTAAGAGTTAAAATTATAGCTACACAATAACAACCAGCATCTTGAAGGAAAATTTTTATCACATAATTAGAGACTTAATCATATAAAAAAATGCATTAAGCAGTAAATTTCAAATACCTGCTCGTTGACGTAGTTTTCGAGATCTGGAAGGATGTCGGGGTTGTACGGATTGACAGCAATCAGCTGCTCAACAGTATACGAAACCTGTTGTGGTTTCCGAGTCTCTCTTTCTCTACTCATGTTTCTTTACTATATTTCGTAACAGTACTCTCTTCGATTGATAAACTAAGACAGTGACAACCACTTCTCAGAAACCCTAGCGGAAGCAGAGAGAGGGAGAAGAAAACGAACAAGTAGCTAGTGCGAGGGTTTTAGTGAAACCAGTAAAAAGACTTGCCTACCCTTTATTTTTCGTTATTTTATATAATTTTTTAGTCTATTAAAAAAAAGAAAAAGAAAAAGAAACGTTTCTTAAACGTATGCTTATATGTACAGTATTTGTATTGTAACTTATTTTTGTCTTTTTATTTAAATCTTACTATAACAAAATTTATAAAATTGAAGTGAAAAGTAATTCTCGAAAGATAGAGAGATGAGTTTCAATAAATTTTACTAATCTTAGTTATTATGAATTATTTACTCAAAAGGTAACAACACAATTGGAATTTTGTCAACTAATTACATCCAATATAACAGTTGAACAGTGCCATTGTAGGATGATACAAAATGCCCATACAAAGACAGCTTCTTATTTTTCATTTTCACGTGAAGTAATTACAAAACACCAGCAGAATTCTTAAGCCGGATTTGGTTAGAAAGATTAGGAGTAAATTGTTACAGATGTAAGAGATTTGATATCAAATTCCAGCCCATCCATGATTTCTTATCAGCAGGGTTGGCAAAAGTTAGCTCAAACATCTCCTTGCTAGCATGTTCACCGGACTCGCAAAACCCAACGAGTTTTGCAACAATTTCAGCACTCTCTTTCACATTTTGTATATTAAGAGGGTCTGTCCATAATTTGTTCACCAGTTGCAACCTTCTCTGTTTGCCTACTGGTGGAATATCCCATTTCATGTACAGCATTTCTCTTTCCTCTGCTGTCAGTTTCGAACTCACTCTCTTCGCTAGATATTCCCTTTCTTGCTTAAGAGCCTTGATACTGCATTAAATATCACCTCAGTAGTTAATGTCATTTTTCTTATAACAAAAAGCTTCAAAGATGTATACGGGAAATCATCATAGGCTTCTATCTATTCATGCAAATTATAACATCATTTTTACGCCATCAAAAGGAATACTAATCTAGTGGGCTAAACATTGCAGTAATCATTGGTTAACGAAGAAATGAATATTAGAAAGCTAGAAATGAATGAAATATACTTACCCAAAAAAAAAAAAAAAAAAAAAAAATGAATGAAATACCTTGACGAAACAGAGCCTGCAGGTTCATCACCTAAGAGTGCAGGACTTGCATTGCCGAGCTCTGACAAATGCTGCTCTAACCATGTCAACCTTCTAAGCTCAACTTCCATATATATTTGATCCATCGGATCCCCTCTGAATAACAAATAAAATTGTGTACGGTGTACAATTGAAACGTGGCACAAATGCCATAACATGATGATCTGCTTTCTCTGCTCCTCGAACATCAAGTGCCATGGCATGGGAGATTGATCCATCATATCTGTCTCCTCAGTGGAAGCATCATTTGCCTCCAGCTCTAATACCTAATGCAAAACATGTGGCAGAAGTATAACTTGTTAGAAAGTCACAACACACTAATTATTTCACATCTGCAATAAGTACTCAAATCTAAAGCCTTTGAACTTTCTGATTGTCATCCACATTTTTTATTTCTTTTCGGACAAGTAAAATCATAGTGCATAAGAAGGATGCAAGAACAACCAGCCTCAAAGAAAAAGAAACACAGACACAAAGCATTAAAAGATTTCATGAATATACGAGAAATCTTGACAAGCGATCTTCATGGGCAGTATGTTACAAACTCTACTTATAAACGCATATACATATCTTGACAAGCGATCATCAATATTCAGGCCAGGGAAAAATAAATCCTTTTTGGAACAACAATATATCTGAAGAAGTAGAAACTATTTGCCAGATTGTTTTCACTTATAATGCACAGTGATTCTACTCCCTGACTTAACAAAACTTAGGCATATCTTCTTGAGATCGAATAGTGAATTATGATATCAGAAAACCACACATGATATACATATGGTTCTAACCTGGCAAACAAGAAGCTGCTTCTGGTATTGTAGCTTTGCCACCCGTTCTTTTAACTCTGTAACATAAGCTCTAATGCTGCGTATGTTTTCCTCAGCTGCATTCTTGAACATCCTCTGCACTTTCTTCACATCAACAGAATTTGCTTGCCGCACTGGAGTTCCCTCCCTTGATGAGATAGAGTTATTATTCCCATGACCCTTGATAGGGGTATCTACAAATGACTGAGGCAATGTATTGCTACAAGGCACCATATTGTTATTGTCAGGTGCCTTATTCTCAGTCTCATGTTCCATTATCTTCCGAGAAGAGGATAGCGGCGAGCACGGAGACCGTATTATATTTTGCATGTTTGCACTGTTATTCAAGGAGAAAGGACGCATTTTCTTCTTCTTGCATTGAGTCTTGAACTCTGGGGTCTTAGACTCTAGAATCTCCTCACTGTTCTGAAAAGATGAAACGAGAATGTCCATAGATTTCTGAACATTCTCAAGCTTCCTTTCTAAAGAAGCAATCACACTCCCTTGAGAGTTCAATCGAGTGAGTTCTTCCTTCAGGTTAGCTTTATCTCCAATGACTATATCTTCAGGAATAGAGCCAACTGCTTGTATGTCCTTAATATCAGACAACAGCCTCATTATGCTTTCAGCCGTTTCTTTGCTCCCCAGTCGATGGGAAGCGACCTCATTATGAAGTACTTCAAGTGCTCGATTTGCTTCCTCACCAAGCTGCCTTTGCCGTTGCTCAAGCTTCCGGATTTCATGCACAAGCATGGATGGATCTGTTGAATTAACTGACTGTCTCACCATTGCCTGTCTTCCAACAGCATTTCTAGGTCGAGTTTCTGAAATAGGTTTATTTAAAACTGTTTCATTTTCCACTGGAAAGGAAAGACACCTGGCTGTTTGAGAGGAAGGCCCACACTGGTTCGAACCCTGAAATTGTGATAGCCATAAGTTGACTGCGAACAGTGGAATTGAATTTATATACTTCAGTCACACTAAAGTACCTTATGCTCTTTATGTGCCTTTCTTTCTAGTTCCAGTTGGGATTGTGCGAGGTCTCTTTGACGCTTAAGCTCTTTCATTTCTCTCTCCATCTGCAATTTTATTTATTTCACAGAGAGCAAACAACAAGAAAAAGTTAAACAGAGAAAGAGGATGGTTCTTCTCATCACATATCTAGCTTTCTCTTTTTAAGCTAAAAAACAGAAACATTTCCGTATCAAGCAAAATAAGGAAAAATATATACATTGATGGCAGAGAGTGAAAGATATAATTATAGTAAGTGGTTTGTTCTTGTGTATATTCCAAGAAAATAAAAAAATGATGCCAGACCTACATGGCCGTAGAAGCAACCTTGCTATTTAACATCTAAAATGAGCAAACAAATTTAAGAAAACGTGTGCAATAGCAAACATAGATTTGTTGAAATTCCTAGATACGTAAAATAAACTGAAAAATGTCGCACAAAGGGGTGTCTAGACCCAAGTTGTCAATTGTTCCAAAGCCACAATTGTCTCTTGAGGTAAAGAAGTGACTTTTTTTTTTTTTTTTTTTTTTGGTATGATTAATAACAAAACAAACTTACCTGTTGAATTTTCTGCTCCTTTTTCATTAACAGAGACCTGAAGCATGAGGAGGAAGAAGGGTCTGGACTTCGTAACTCAGCTTCAAGTCTGGCCACTTCCTTCTGCAAATGCTTTACCAGTCTCTTGTCTGAAACAACCTGAAAGAAAAATATCGTCCCAACTTAGAGAGGCATCAACAGTGTAAGGTTTGTATATTTAGTGACAACCATGGAGAACCAGCCATGCAAAAACTAGTGTTTTGTTACATGACATTACCAGAATTGCTGTTAAAAGTTAAAAGGTTAATGGGAAACACCAAGTATATTTTAAATGAGAATACAGAGGGCTCACCATTAGTCCCATACATAAAAGTGCAAAATAGTAAAATATTTCCAAATCATTAAAATAAAATAAAACTAACTTGTGATGGATTGAAGTACTATACCATGTTCACTTTGGCATTGTTGGTAACTTCCTTTGCACTACTTGCAAATGAGAGTGTATTCCTTGTTTGCTCCACATGACTCAAAGAGGGACTGATAGTACATATAATTGCTGTTCGAGCATTTCCACCAAGTGAATGCTGCAATATTCGAGTAAGTTTTGAATCTCTATAAGGTATGTGACTGCTCCTTTTTCCACCACTGCAAACAGAAAAAACAAACAAGACAATGAATCCTAGACAGTAAAATTTGGACCAAAATACCGTCAACCTAAGGCATTGGCTATATGCTGGTTGTCAACTTGTCATGGCTAAGGTAAAGTACAATATACAGAATCTATATCAGAATGAAACAACAGTACAGAAAATTACAAACATCATTTTCCAACCCCTATGCACACGTGAAATTTGCTCCATATCTCATAATCAAAATTTGACTAAATTTCTTTATAGCATAATCCAGATTGATAATATTTCAACATTCCATTTGATCATCACAAACACACTAGTAGGCAGATCCTATATCATTCAATATTTTTGTTCATTTAGATAATCCAATATCAAGTTCACAGAAGATCTTTGCAACAAACCAGCCATTAAAGAACTCACCAGACCACTGCAAGAAAACTTAAATAAATATTATGTGACAATTCAAGTTTTTACTAGATCTTCTGCTCTTTGGCAAACTGAACTTTCAAATTTTATGGCTCTTGCAAAATAAAAAAAGTAGACAACACAATACTAGGACACAAGCCATGCAGACAGTATATATGACTGAATGGCATCCTAGGGGAGCTTCAAGCCCCTAATGCAACCAAAACAAGGAGTTTCACTATCATCCTTTTGCTCTAGCTCACCTCAGCTTTCTGATAACTGTTGTAAGTGTCAACAAACTACGGTTAATGTGACTGCCTTCCTTAAGTCTTATTCCATCCGCATTTGTTTGAGAGGCACGTTCACTTCCCGCAAGGTCCACAAGATTCTGTAAATTTTATAGCGCTTCAACCAACATAACTAAACTCTTGCTGACACAAGAATCTTATATAAGATGAGACATACCAAACTTGCTAGGAATGACTTTACACGGCCTGAATTTTCCCGAAGACTGCTCTCGATGGTCTGAAATAGGCGTGATCCATCAATAGAACGTGTTAGCACTATGCTTGCATATAAACCAAAAATGTAATACATGGCCAAACCAGAAAAGTAACATGTGATTACAATTAAAAAGAACTCCACCTCCACGATGATTGCCAGTAAACTGTAAAATGAAGGAAACGAAAGAACTAGTTCATGCTTGCATTGACATAAAGAGTTAGCGAAAGAAAATTACTAACTCAACAGAAATCTTATTAGCTGTGATTTCAGCAATAATTTGATTAATCAAATTGATTTAGTGAAAATTTCAAAGAAAGAGGAGGTCTAAATGAACCAAGAAGTATGTAAACATGGTTGGTCCCCGCCAATTGACCATTAAAAGATGGTTCCAAAGAGGCATTAAGGTCTACAGATTACCAACAAATTGAAAATTCCTCGTTCTTACCCCTGATTAAATGTTTAATAAGACCAAATGATAGAAACTAGCTCAGACCTAAAGCAGCCATAATTAAAAAGCTGAATGAAAATTATGTCTTGCAAATGATAGATGCTGTTACAGCTTATTGCAAACACTAAAGCAGCCATACTAAAATGCTGAATGAAGTTTATGCACCATGTGAGAAAAATTAAGAAAATTTTATCTAAACATATTAAGCTTACCAGTCTGATTATCTGATGTGATCTTGAGCTATTATCATTTAAAGCAGTTTCTCCCACTTGCCTTTGAGCTGCAAAGGAAAACATTTTCGATTTGCAGGTTACACTAGTCAAAACAGTGAAGTTGATTGTAGAGTTATGTAATTAAACCAAAATGAGTTTAATTTTATCAACAATTGGAGTAGACATAAAACATAGCATCACCATAAATACTTGAAAGAAAAAATTACAGCTCACATGACAGCATTGGACATTCAATAGCTAACCAAGCTCACTCAACTGAATGCTATACTTCTTTAGAATTTCTTTCTATTAGGAAAAAGAAAAGCATAAAAATCAACAGCCTACATTCTATAATCCTCTTTATTAGCAAGAAAGCTATTATGAAGACATGATTCTTTCAATACCTTCACAAATGCCAATTAAGTGCCTTAAATGTTGGCTGTCTTGAACAACTTCTTCAACTAGCTTTTCCACAATGGTCCCTTTCTGCATATGGAAACAATATTAAGAACAAGAGTTAATATTGAAATGTAAAAGAACCACTAGGAAATTACTGGTCAGTTGAGAAAAAAAATACCCTTATGTACCTCAGGATCATCCAAAAGCCGCAAGGAACTAGACTCATGATTCAAAAGGTCTACTACAGTCTCATTGTAGATCTCCAAAGCAGAAATTTTCAAAACAAAATCCCTCTCCTGATTCTGTAAGAGTAATACACAACAAGAGCAAGTATAGACTCAGCTAAAATTTTACTTAATCCAAACTATTTGATCTCAAGCCATTGTTCTATGCTAAGATTTGAATTATGAAGAAGTTCACCTAATATATATCAGGTAATATGGTGAAAATTTAGCTGTCCATGCATGGAAATTTCTCCAGTATCTTAACTTAACATGATATCATGTAATTCAACTTGTACAGCATCTTGCAAATCTGACTACAATAACCTAAAATGATGTGAAATATACTTACATTTTTTATGTGTTCATAGATGTCCTTAATTGCATTTTCGGATATTCCTCTCATGGTGAATGTCTTACCACTACCAGTCTGGCCATATGCAAAGATTGTTGCTGCAAATTGTATTCATAACAGAAAAAAAACTTTTAATTTTTTCCCAAAATAATATAAAAAATCTTAAAAAGAAATCATTACAAGGTGCATAATTATCAGAACAGTAAATAATTATGCATAGTTACCATTAATTCCCGTTAGAGCAGATAAGGCAACATCCTTAGCTCCTTCTTCATAAACCTTTTGAGTTGAACAGGCAGGCTCAAAAACTTTATCTGTCACGTATACATAACAGTAAACTAAAAATTCAACTAACTAATTAAATTGCACAAGAAACTAGAAATCAAAACCAGTATTCTCTAAAAGCACACTCCAGATTCCACTCTCCTAAATCTATTCAGTTACATCAAACCAAATGTTATTCTTTAAACCTCCTCTAGTTAATAGTCATTGACACTGAAGGTGGGACTAGTTAAACACAGGGGAAACATACCAAAGGTGTAGGGGATCGTGGGCCGTTCATGGTTTGGATTCTTGAAAACAATCTTCTGGTCGTCTATGCAATCCCAAGCGATGAGATCATACATGGCTTGTTCTTTCCGGTTCAATGGCCTCATACGAACAGTAACTAATATCTTCTCCTCGCTAACTTTTGGACCACCTGGAGTACATGAAGGGGTCCTTTGTATCTTACATAAAGGTGTGGCTGGTGTCCCAACCATGTTTATCCCTAAGTATCCCCTGAAGTCCAAAATCAAAATGGTATATGTTATTGGTAATTAGAACTCAGATTGAAAACCATGACTAACAATTTTGTCATTACCAAGGAAACCATCCCTTATTATGGCTAAAAGAATTTGGTTTTTTCATTCAAATTTTAGCAGTTCGCTTGCATTGTAGTATAAAAAAGGATTTGATTAGAGCAAATCTAATAAAAAGTTTATAATTACAGGAGATAAATTATGGCCGTGCTTTATGCTTAATAAGCATCATTAAATCCTTCATAAAAAATATACTCTAAGATTATCAATATAAAATCAAAATGAATTTAATATATTCTATTTTTGTCTTTCCTTTCTTATAAATAACAAATTAAGCTAGAGTAGACACAAAACATCATAAATTATACTATGTCAGCATTATTAAGTCCTTTAAAAAAAAAGAAAAAAAAAGAAAAAAAAATGCATCAAGAAACTTATAAACGGAGAACTAGATCAATTCTTGCACATTCAACAAATTTCGCCTAAAGAAACAGAAAAATTAAAAATGAAAGAGATAAATATTTAACTAAACTAAAATCACAGAAACTTCTTCAACTTGCAAGAAGTACATTTCTCTCTCTCTCTCTCTCTCTCTCTCTTTTCCTTTGTATTTTTGAACAATCCAGCAAAAATCACCTGAAAAAAGACAGTAAATAAACAACGAAAATGCATCACTTACAGTCAAATCGAAGTGTTAAAAGATTCAAAAAGAGAGACGAGGCGCGTGAGTTCTTGAAAACCGGCCGCCCTGAAATCAAGAAGTCAGTGAAAGGAAGGTGTAAGGACACCAATTCCGTCTTTCACATGAGAAGTTGAGTGAAGGTGAAGATGAAAATTACTGCACTGTTCTCTGAGGTTTTTGAGTTGAAAGTGATTGACAGAGAGAGAGAGAGAGAGCGGGTATTGAAGAGAAGTAACGGATATGTTTTCGTTTTGTTTTTATTATTATTTTTCTGTTACTTTTCCCGTTCTGTGCGCGCACCAGAAGAGAGAGGCGTCTGACATTTTGAATTTAAAGGTTCGATCGCCAGGCACGTGTGCCAATCAAATGCTACAAGGTTTTATGGGCTTATTGGGCTCAAAAGATAATTTAATAGGCCCAACTGAGCTCCTGGACCTTGATTTTTGTTTTTCGTAAAAGATATTTAATGATTTATGAGTTTCATATCTTCTCTATTTTTCATACCAATAACTATTTGAAATGAGAGGTTTAGCTAGAATATTTACATTTTTACATTTAAAATATTTTTTTTAATTGTATAATGGTTTTGAAATAACTTGTTTCTTAATAATGAACCTAAATAATCTTCTACATGCAATGCATGAAGTATAAAAACTGTTACATGTAACTGGAAAAAAAAAAAAATATATATATATATATATATATATATATTCAAGAGTCATATTTTGATAGCATTTAACCTAAAAGGAAAAAAAAATCTTCAAGCAACATACGAATATAATTAAAGAAAAAGAGTTCTAATGTTAGAGGAAGTGGATGTGGAGCCCATTCCCAATAGGAAAAGGTCCAATTCAAATAAAAGCCCAAGGAAAATGTGAGAAATCCATGAAAAAAAGCAGGTGAGATAAGAAACAAAATGTCTAAGAAGCAATCAAAGAGATTTATTCTATTCCTTGAGTTTTTGGATTCAAACTTTAGGGTTATTGTGGTTTACCTGATTCATTAGATTTGTAAAGTATTCAAAGGATCTCGAAGATTAGTTGAGGTACGCACAAATTAAGTCGAACAACCCGGTTACCAAAAAAAAAAAAAAAAAGAAAGTCTGATGAAAAAGTAACCAAAGTTCCCTCCCAAAATTTCTTGTGTATGAAGTTTTAACTTTGTGGGAAGTCTCCATTTTTTCATAACATATTTACCACTCTTTGTATTTTCCTGCTCAACACACACAAATCACGAATCTATTCTGAAAAATCATTGAAAGAGTTCAAAACTCTTTCAAATTACAACTACTTTTGCTTCTTTTGATTATATGAAGAGTTTTCAGAAATAAAAAAATAACTAAAAATTGTTTTTAGAAAAAACATGTGATAGATGATTTTAACAAAGAAGTGTTTTGGCATTTCCAGAAGCATGTAACCAGAAACTAAAACCAAATTTCTTTCGACTTCTTGAAGCCTGCAATGGTGTTGGTATTGACGAATGTGAGAAGATGTATCCATCTTACACTCTGTTTAGTTGGTGGATGGTCATTGGTTTGGTAGGGACTTCGTCATTTACTATAAGCACTTTCTCAATATTAAAATAAACAGAAGACCTTTTCTTTCATTTTCAAATTTTTACCTTTATCATTTTTTATAATTAATAAAACTTGTTTTCTCGTAATTACAGTATCATTATTATAAAGAATTCTTAAAGTTATATAACTAAATAATTTACTGATTTTAAAAGTGTTCTTTTTACTAACAATTTAAAGGACAACAATATATATTTTGTTAGGGACTAAACTTTAATTATAATCTCATTTCTCAACTTTATTATAAATTCTATTTTCAAATTTTTTTTAGATATTATTATGTACTTCAAAATTTCGGAAACTATTAAAAATCCCCTTATAATTATTGAAAACCCTCTGACAAGGGAGAATTTTTAATAATTAAGGGGTGTTTAAAAATCAACGAGGATTAATGGTTTCGGAAAATTTTGGTATGCTTCATATTAAACAATCTCACAAAAGGTATATAAAATAAACCTCTACATGAAATTTCAATTCTAAGTTTTATAGGTGTTGTGTGTGATTTTTCTGCCAAGCTCGGGCCAACTCGAGGATATATCTCGATCCAGAATGAGCTTGATAACTATGATTGATCGACCAAGCATAAGTTTGAGCATAAGCTAGTCGCGAACAATTCAAGGAGTCGTTCAATCAATCCCCAAATTATTTCAAATCCCAAATATTGCGGGAAAGACTGGATCAACGGTGATCACTGCGCAATCACAGCGCCCGATCACGAAGATATCGGAATTATGATTCAAATAAGTTGTAATCCCCTAAATTTTGTTTTTTCCTTTGTATCAATCTTGTATATAAACTCTCTCAGACAATGAGAAGGGGGTTACGAATTTTAGATAAAAATCTTATTGTAAGCTCTCACAGCCATGGTTGTTAGTATCCTATGATGCCCGATACGTATCATACAATACGATTCGATACAGGTCACCAACGATATGTATCAGAGAGTGTATCATAAACCATTCGATACGTTGATATGTATTCTACGATACGATACGTATCCGTTCGTATCCTTAAAAATATCGATATAAATCGATACGACTTTATTATTTTGGTCCAAAGGTCCAAAAAAAATTTCGGGTCGAAACCGGGTCACCCAACCTGATTCACTAAAACCTGTCCAAATTTACCTATTTTGCATGAAGAAAGTGAAGAGGAATATGTATTACCCATTTTACATGATAATAATAATATAAGTGGAGATATAGATATTGACATTGATATTGGAATTTTGTGATTAATTTTGATTATATAATACCGTAATTTAAAGTCAATAATACCACAAAATTCTTTAATTAATCTTAGGGATTATATTAATTTTCAGAAAATTTTGATTATTTTATTAATTTTTTTGAAAAAGGCGTATCTTACGATACGATACGATACGCGATACACGATTCAAAAAATTAAGTTTTCGATACACGATTTTATAACCATGCTCACAGCAAATACAAAAACACAGTGGACATAGGCTGTTAACCCGGCCGAACCACTTTAAAAATCTCTTTGTTGTTAGTTCAGTTCATTCATATTCATTGTTGATTTTCACTAATCATGCAAACATCGGTTCCTATCTCGGCAAGGTCGATCGAATCACACTGGTTGGTACATAATTTTGTATCAATATTTTGGCGCTAGAAGGAGGGCTTCCGCCAATATTTCAAATATTTTGGCAAACATTCACTGCAATTTACCTGTTCTAGGGCCACAGTGGTGTACACCAGATCGAAAACTACCACCGAAAATCACGAGAACGTGGAAATCACCCACCAAAAGGTGCAACAGGAGAACGTTGGACGTCGACCACCTGTGTCGCCAACTCAGCACACTGCGAACAACCAAGGGGCAGGGACGTCAACCCCCGAGAACAACCAACTAATAGAGATGATTAGGACAATGGTTGCACAGGCGGTGCAACAGAACGTGGCTGAGCTGAGGAACCAATAACCCCTTGGCCAAAACCACGACCAGCCGCATTTCTCCAACGCAATCCCAACAGGTATGAATTCTGCAGGTGGACAGTCTATTTCTTCACCGCCAAGGGCCGATCAACACCTCCAACCTCTCAGGCAACACTCCACGAACGAGCGTGAGTCTCGCGGGCAAACAAACCCTGGGAGGTGGCCGGGGAAACAGCCATTGAGGGAAAGTGAAGGCGACGGATACCACCGAGAAGCTCGGCAATATCCCCAACGTCAACGTGCCAGTTTTAACCCACGCCCAAGGCAAGATCGATCTTCCCATGCTCGTGAAGTGAGTCTTGTGCGTCAATCTAGCAATGACCGACGTTCCGATTATGACCGACGTAACGAGCAACGCACTAACGAGCATGATAGCACATATCTACCCAGCCATCATGACTCGACCTCGCGCATCAATACGCACACCAGAGGAGCTTCGCAAGCAACATACTTGCGGACTCATTTGCTCGAGGTGAGGCTTAACAGAGCCAGCCAGGGCAACCAAAATGAAGACTTAGATCGCATGCAGTGGATGCTTGATGATCTAAAAGCTCGCTAGAACAACTTGGCGGAGGAAGTAATAAGTTTTCCCTTTACGGAGGAAGTTTGTCAGGCCCCACTCCCACAAGGGTTCAGAGCACCCGAAAGCAAGTTTAACAGGAGAAATGACCCCAGCGACCACCTCGACAACTTCAATAACCTGATGGAGTTACACCAGGTCAGTGACTTACTTAGCGAAATGTCGGTGCTTCGCAGTCACATTAGTCAGAGATGCCAAGAGGTGGTACAAAAGGCTCAAGGCGAACTCCATCAACTCCTAGCAACAATTCTCCTCGTTGTACTGCAATGTCTGTAGGCT